AAGAACCTGGATCTGAATCCTGATGGCGAGGATTCGGGAGTTTTCCTCTTCGACGATGACGCCATGCCGCTGGAGCCTGATCAGGTGTTGGAAGCCGTGCCTCTCATCGCAACGCCGCCTGCTGGAGAGCAGGAGCCTTTGATGCAAGAGCCTGAGCGAGAGCTTCAGGTTCCGGTCAAGAACTACTCGAAGAAGCTGATTCTGGACGACACAGAGGAGGCACCAGCACCGCCACCAAAACCGTCGCCATTGAGCCAGCCTCAAGGCACTGCTGCGACACAGAGACTCGTTTCTGTTGCGAAGGAAGAGACAGCAGCGATCCAACATGTCCAGGGAGCCGTTCCACAGCAAGTAAAACCCGCGCCTTCCCCTTCTGCGCACGACCAAGACAGCGCCCTCAAACGGCCAGTATATACCGCAACTACTAGTGCCACGCAATCCCGCGACCGAGACTCTGGTGTGTATGTCTCAGACGAGGACAGCCTCCCACCACAATCCCGACCCACGTCCCTCGCTCTGAATGACGCCCATCATCAATTAAAGAACTCATCTATCTCTTTGAAGCATACCGTATCGACATCGACTTCTTCACCCCGTCAACGCACAGACTCGATAGCACGCCTGAAACGGCCTGCAGAGTTGAACCTAGGAACGAACCTAGTATCCGACTCCTCGAAGCCACGCTCCGAGCTTGAGAAGCGGTACGATTTGATCCGCAATTCGAAAACGCAGTCGAAAGCTGCTCTGCGGTCGCCTACAGCGCTTCTGCAGGAACGATTGAACATGTCGGCGAAGAAGGAGAAGATCGAGGAAGAGAAGACGCGTGTTTTCACACCACCACGGCAGACGACGAACGGGTGCTGGCTGCCGGGTCCAGGCGCACAGCTAGGCGCCTTCACCAGCACGTCCGTTCGTGCGCGGACAGAAGCTGGCAATCGACCAGCTTGGTGGTGCAAAGTCGACAAACTCGTTGTATTCGACGGCATCGATGCCAGTAGCGATGGAGATATGAAAATCAACACTCGCTCTAGCAAGGGTCTTAGCATTGCGCGTCGACGTGGCGATATGGAGACGATTGTCATCCCGATGGACTGTGCACACTGTCAGGAGATGCTCAACCGCCATGAGTGGAAGTACGACATGCGCGTGTGTAAGAGGAGTGTGTGTTGGGATTGCAGGGAGAGGTGCAAGTGGGAGTTGGAACAGGAGAAGTTTGCTTCTGAGCAGACAGCGGCCAGAGCGGATGGCAACAGATATCGCGCAGATAGTGTGTTGCAGGATGAAGGACACGAAGAGGAGCAGTTGATGCAAAAGATTGGTATTGAGCAACATCGGCCGACGAGCCCGATTGAGGCTATTGGTGGTATTGAGGAGAGACTGAGCACATAGGAAGGCAGTGACTTGACTTGGGAGTAGCAAGGTAGCGGGAGAGACACGAAAGAGAATGTAGCAACTTACATCGTGAGCCGTCGATCGGCTTTAGCAATGACCGAGTATCGTGACACTCTGTATCAGTCGTTTACCTCAGTCCAGATCCATGGCATCGTCCATATATTCAAAAGGCGTATCCTCAATCTCCATGCTAGTGTATCCATACGACGTCTTAGGCTCGAAGTCTCGACTAGTCAAAACACCATTCGTAGTACCATCGGAATGCTGCTGCACTGCTTCGTGAGCAAGGTCACATCCACCAATGATATTGCGCAACATATGCTCTAGATGTAGATCCTGAAGCGAGAGGTTCGCGCGCGCGTCGCCGCTGGCGATGTTTGCCTTGCTATCAGCATCTTTCCACGCATTACGGTATTCCTTCGCAATGCCTAGTTGTACACGAACGTCCTGTAGGCCCAAAGACCCTGCCAATGGGCTCTTCTCATCGTCTAAAGCTTCTAGAAGATTGGCGTGGAAGGCATGCGAAGCCATCGGTCGCGTTCGGTGCAGATCGGGATTGGTCTCGTAACGTAGGGCGTTGAAGTTTGTGCGCGGCGCAGAGGCGGAGACGGAAACACCGAAGATGGCGAGACAGTCTGTGATGTAGCGCTCGAGCAGCGTGTAGAATTCGAAGAAGTCGACTTTGAACATGGATTCGGCTTGTTTCTGCGCCGTGTCAGTCTCGCGACGGGTGGGGTGACGGGGCTGATAGCTGCTTACACTCGATGCGCCGCTTCCCATTGCGTGTTGGGACTGGTGGTATTCATTCTCCTGCGCAGCTGCCTGTACGATCTCCATGGTGCGGAAGTAGGACACCATGAGCATCTCGGCCTTCCAGCGGACGCGTCCTAGCAAACGCGTTACGCGATCTTTGTCCTGTTTGAGCTTCTCGGCTTTCGATTGAGCTAGACTTTCGGCAGGCGTCTTTGGTGCGTACTTGGACGTCTTCATGGTGCCAGTGATATGTCTCGTGTGAGTCGGGGTAATGGTTGTATTAAGCTATGGAAGTGGGCATTCGTCGGGCTCTCAGCTATCCAGTCATCGATAAGCACTGGCGAAATAATGAGGGTTATCGTTTCGAGTACATCGAGCTTTCACGGCGCTTTCACAAAGCAAGTCAGGCATCGTAGAGTTTCAATGTGAGCGCGAACTGTTGCAGACGCTGTGGGAAGCAAACCACTGTAGATGGTTCATGCCGAGGCTCATGGCTGACTCAGCTCGCACCTGGAAAGTCAAACACGTGTTTCTCCATCTGTGATCGCTTGGGGTAAAGGTACAACGCTGACATCCAGTACCACCCAAGAGAGACGCAGTGTAACATCGCGTAAGATATGATGCATATACTCGCAGGTTCCGATAGGTGGGTGCGTCGCTGCCTGGAAACTGTGCCAGCCGTGCCGTAGCCACGCATTTGGTTGATATGCAAGGGGTGAGTGAAGCATACCTAGTTATATGCCGACCAAGCTCGATACCACTCACGATATCTGTCACTCTACAATGGTCCGCGCAACTCGGAAGCGAAAGGCTGTCGATTATGATGACTACTACGACACGTCATCAGCCAGTTCCAGCATGTCTCGAGCGGCTTCCATTGAATCGACTCGTCAAAATAACAAAGGGAACAAGAAGAGGAAGAAGAGGAAAACCGTAGCATGCGACGATTCAAACATCGAGGAAGTACATCCTGCCTCTATTTTCAACACACCCCGAAACCCTCGAGCGACGTTCGAAGGCCTCCCAACTGAAATGCGCCTTCAAATTTACGATTACCTACGCGACTTGTTACACATTCACGTACGCAGACGTGTAAAGATAAAGGAAGAAGCTTCATCGCAAGCCAGAAAGCCACCACCGTTCGTGTGGTATCCCTGCCGCCGTACCAATCCGAACACGCGGTTGCTATGCGCGAATCCCGAGTGGTCAGGCATGTGCAAAGAAGAAGATCGTTGCAGCTACAAAGCCGACTCTCCAGTCGAGCCCCGAGGACCCTGGGCCCTCATAGCATCAAACAAGGCCATCCGCAATGAAGCCAAGGAGCTTTTCCTCCGTGACACCGTCTTGTCAGTCAATTCGCAGGACCTACAGCCCTGGTTAAACCATCTGATCAGACATGCTCCGCAGCGCATGAATCATCTGCATCATATCACGCTTACCGGCCCGATCGAATGGAGTAGCACGCATACGTGTCTCGTGCGATTGTTGCAAGAACGCGTACCGAATCTCACAGGGCTTGGATTCCAGTTCTATACTCACGGCTGTCACTCCATCAACATATATGAGATATCTCAAAACTCAATCCAAGTCGAGCTGAACGAGTGCAGGAATTGACTGGTTTCGAATCTGCTGTCTCAATTCGAATCTCCTATCGCGTTTGCTCTGGAAGCCATCATATGGCATAAAACGGGACCATCGCAACGTCTTGCTATTCGAATGATTTCGCAGGACAGCGAAGATGGCGAGGACGAAGCTGATGTGTATGTTAATATCGATGACCCGGGGAAATGGGCGGAGACAGGCCGGCAGGCGAAATGGCGGAGATTTTGGCAGGAGAACTACAAAAGGGGACAATGTGATTTACATTAGCAATTGGCGTACTTGGTATAAATGATGTTGCAGTTCAGAAGGATCCATCCACTACTCATCAGATAATGGTGACCTCTTCTTGCTCCATATCCTCCAAACGGGCAACGTCCGCGAACTCCGGGCAAAGCTCTTTCGTTTGGCTTGTGTTATACTCTCCCCACGGATGCACAAAAAGCCCGACTCTTCGGTATAGTCGCTGAGATAAGTCGACAGGTTCCAAGATGATACCGAGTAGGTACGCCGGTTCCCATTCTATCCCGTCGTTATCGTCGTCAGGGTATAGACGATAAGCCTCAAGAAGTTGAAGCACACAGAACCAGCAGCCAGCGCACGATTGTCGGCCGTCATCAAAATTCTCGGTCCACTCGCTGTACAGAACCCTTTGGTTAATATGCGACGCTCCGTTTCTTGCTGGTCTGTTAGAGGCTTTTCGCATGTAGCATGCGAGCTGGAGACGTCCGGAGGATATTCTCCCAAATTGATCATCCCGAACATACTCTATATGCACTCCAAGGACATGCGCGGGCTGGTGGTCGGACAGCTGTTGGAATATGGGTCCTAGCCATAAGAATATAACGCGTTGTTTCAATGAAATCCAAGACCACGAAGGTGCTATTGTTGAGGATTAGACAAGTCCGACTCTTGGGTACGAGTAGCAAAGGAGCTTACGAACCTCCGCGGCCTTTTTGAAGCAACACTGCTTGGTCGTCTGAGATATTCCACGTCGAAGGATGTGCCCAAAGTAGACTTCGGACAAGATCCTTGTACCAGATACCACCCACGTACCGATCTTGCAATTTCGCCTCGAATGCTCTTGCTAACCCCGATATGGCGGGTAGTACGTCTTCGTCGTATGTGAACTTGCAACCCGAAAACCATTGCGCAAGAGCTAGCCATCTCATGTGATGATCAACTGTTTCTTTACCTTTGTCCAGGGTATTCCGTCGCCCGAGAAGACTAGATAGTTTGAACGGCAAGTCATAGCCCTAACCAGTTCGCACAGTAAGATTCGGTGCGCCTTCCGGATGTAACTCGGTGGTGACTAGTTGTGTGCACTCCCATCCAAGCAGATCGTCAAAGTAAATAGACTTGGGGCTTAAAAGTCGTTCCTGGAAAACCCAACCGCGCGACATCAGTACTGATTGGTTGATACGTTCTACCGCAGTGACTTCGTGAACAACACGAGAGAACCTCAGTAGGCCCCATTGAAAGTCCATGTAGAATGATGCGAGGCCGATTGAGTTCAATTCTGTATACAGTCCTGTTCCGGGTATATTAGAGGCCCTTGTTGCTCCCACGTGCACAAACGCATTAGCGTATATTTCCCCCATGGACGATATCTCCTGGTCACAGTCCGTGGGGTCATCCTGGATAAGGCAAAGTGCATCGATCCATATGAAGGGTACGCTTAGTCTTCGACACAAGTCAATAGCGTCTAGAAATACTGCCGGTAATTTATTCGGTTTGATGCCTTCAAGCAGCTCGTGCAGATTCGAAGTCAGAAGCTTAGGCATGTCTTCGTTCTGCCATCTGTGACTCAAAGTGATGTATCTACGGTCCTTCTTGTCGGAAAGTCTGGCTGCGGTTGTAAGGTGCGGTAGATCGGCGGTTGAGACATCGATGAGTCTGGTCGGTACGAACGTACCAGTCCTCCCGAGCCTCTCCTGATGACAAGTATAATGTGTTTTCTCACATGTTTGTATCCATTCAGTGATGGTGCGGAGATGTGCTTCGTCGCCAGTCCAAGAAGTCAAAGCTGTCGTGACACGTACCGGAGGCAGCGCACTGAGTTCACATCTCCGATACACGAATGGCGTTCCGTCCAAAAGGTTGTACTCGGCGACTTCGAGTTGCAGTCCAAAACGACGGTTGTCGATGCCGGTGTACCCAAGAATCGAAAATATGATCAGTGTGAGGCCGGGCAGATTCGATGCGTCGTAGGATGGGCAGTCTGCTATGTGACTAAGATACGCATGGAAACGACTGTCTCTAGCAATGTTTTCGATACCGTCCCCCGACTCCAGGAAGGTGAGGAAGTGGCAACAGAGCAAGCATTTTCGCTTTGCGGCTTCGGCGATGTCTTCCAAGGTATACTCAACGGGGACAAATCCTTTGGAATCCAGATCCTCAGGCAGTGTAGAAAGCCTCCTGCACGTAACACAGAACGTTGGGTTCAGCGTCTCAACACTCTGTTCTAGTTTGGACGGATCGGACGCTTCGCTAACGCTGGAGGTGGACATGACACGATGCCGAAGAGTGAAGAAGCAGCCAGTCGGGGCATGTTACTAGGCTGAAGGCAGAGGGTAGGAATGCGGGGTCGCAAGTGCTGCCTTCATGCAGGACCATTCGGGGCCAGGGCTTACACCACGTGTTGGGAGTCGGCGCTAGGGGCGCTCACGAAAGTTTTCCTGAGTAAAGTAGATCATTCGTTGCCTTATTCAAGACGACCCTATGTCTATACAAATGCAAGGCGACAACAAAGTGCTTGCTAAACTACCCAATCCACCACATCGCATCATCACCTCATGAGGTATGCCAGTCCCATAACCCCTCAAACGCCATGCCTTCGTAGTCGACCTAGAAAGTGCCAACGACCCTCTTGACCATCTTCCTCATGCCCTCACCACTGATCTGCACAGCACCTTCAAGTTCGGCACTACGCAGCACCTCCAGGAACTCCTGGTTCTCGACTTGTTCGCTGGCGCCTTCTCGCACCTTCTTGACTAGGTCGTTCATGCGCACACTCTGGCCAGCAGAACCGAGCTCGTCGAGCGAGGCAAGCACTGCACGCTTCAAATCCTCTTTCCTACGGCGGTCGCTGGTCGATGTGCCCTCGGTGAGAAGTGACATGTCGATCAGGCCGGTGCGTGCATCCGTAGCTGCTTGCTTGAGCGCCGACTTGATGAGGCGGACAGCCTCGTGAACGTCGTCGGCCGTGACTTCCTCTGATAGGCGCATCTTGGCGTGCGCTTCTGCGAGACGGATCATGGATTCCAATTGACGTGTGGTGGCCGTGATTCTTCGTTCTTGCGAGCGGATATCGGCACCAAGGCTGCGCATAGCGACGTAGGCATCAACGAGAGCCTTTGATGCGGGCTCAGTGATCTTGGGGTGGATGTTCGAGCGCGCGTATGAGATATAGGCAGTCAAGAACTCGATAGGCATAACCTCGTTCTTGTTAGCATTCTCGGGCGTGTCTTCAAGATACATGCCGACCAAATGGCGAGCCATGCGACGATCGTTCTGCTCATCAATGCGGTCCAAGACGAGGTATACCAGGTCGAAACGCGAAAGCAGCGTAGGCGGAAGATCGATGTTCTGCGGAACGGGAAGGTTAACGTTGTACTTCGATCCGATGGGGTTGGCAGATGCCAGAATCGAGGTACGGGCGTTGAGAGTGGTGATGATACCAGCTTTGGCTATGGAAACCGTCTGCTGTTCCATGACTTCGTGAAGAACGGATCGCGTTGCCTCCGACATCTTATCGAACTCGTCGATGCAGCATACACCGCCGTCAGACAATACCAAAGCACCGGACTCAAGCACAAGCTGTCTGGTCTCGGGATCGCGGGTGACGTATGCAGTCAGACCGACTGCAGAGGAACCCTTTCCGGAGGTGTATACACCGCGCGGTGCGATCCTGTGTACGTACTGTAGGATTTGAGATTTGGCTGTGGACGGGTCACCACACAGTAGGACGTTGATGTCGCCACGGTATTTTGGGCTGCCACCCTTCTCAAATTGCTTGTTGGTGCCACCGAAGAGTTGAAGCAGGATACCCTTCTTCACATCGTCCATTTCGTAAATGCTGGGCGCCAGCGAGCGAGACAGCAGATCGTAAACGTCAGGACGAGCGCCAGTGGCCCTTATCCTCTCCTCTTCCTCTTCGGAGACCTTGCGGGTCTCTTCGATATCACCAGCTGCGTGCTCTGCGAGTTCCTCTTCGATTGTTGACACGTCAATGCCCATTCGCTTCTTGTCAACCTTCTGGATGTGAAGGGCGTCTACGTATGTCTTGAAGATGTTCTTTACGGATCGCTGGCGCGGGTTGATGCGAACTTGATTGCACTTGAAGATACCAGTGATCTCGACGCGGTCACCGGCTTTGCAAACATCGACGAGCTCATCGTAGGCACATAATGACACCGAGTGGGGTGTTTGTCCGTCCGGCATGTCATCCGGTGTCTCTTGTAGCTTGATGACCTGCTTGTTCGCGAAGCCGGAGCGGTTGTGCACAATTTGCATCGAGTTTGGCGAATCGCATACGGCGCGCGGGCACTTGGTGGGCTCGGTGATCTTGCCACGGTCGATGTCGACCCTGACAGTATGATTGCATACGGAGCACCGGAAGAAAGCTAGCGGCGTTAGCGAAAGAGTTTCAACATTCTTGTGATACACTTACCATCCTTCATATCCGGGATGATGGGCGTGGTCCTGATTACCAGACCCTTCACACTGACGAGCTTGTCCATATCGCCAGGATTGAGCTCACGCAAGTTGATGGTGTGATCGAGACCGAACGGCCTAACGTTGTACGTCTTTTGGTCGACCTCGCTGACCAGGTTCGGGATCTCTGCGAACGGAGCCGGAGACGGGGCGCCAGGTGTAGGGGCATCGGAACTCAGCATGGGCGGGAGGGAGCTCGAGTCGCGAGCCCTAGGTTGAGCAGCACGCTGTGCTTGTGACATCTGAGTTCGCAATTCTGCCATGCGCTTCTCAGCAAGTTCGAGCATAGTGTCCTTGATCGCCACGTCCATGATGGGGATGATTTCGTTCGGATAAGCCTGTAGTTGATGCCAGAGTTTCCTTGTCGGCGGGTAGGACTTGAGATTGCGCGCGTCCAGGTTCAAAGGCGTGACACCAAGTTCCAGCATCATCTTCATGATATCGACATATTCCCTGGCCATGGCTGGGTGACTGTCCGGAAGACTCAGACCCTCAGCCAGCTCACCGTCCTGGACCATGCGATACTTCCTTCGGAAGTTCATCAAGAAGTCTCTCATGGCATGTCTGGCATCGACAAGCGACACATTGGTTCCCCAAATGACCCGAGTAGAGTTGCCGCCCAAGACGTCTGCATCTGATGTGTCGGGATTGATGTTGGAGAAGGTCGGCGCGTCCGAAGCCTCCTGCACGGGCATGCCATTCTCGTCGACAAAGAGCCTGCGCCGGCGATTGGTAGAGCTGGTGCCGAAGACGTCTGAGTGGATATCGCTTCGTCGATTGCGGGCTGCAGATTCGGAGCCGCCTACGAAAAGAGCGCTGCTACTGCTTCCAGGGATGTTGCTCTGGGCATTGCGGGCTCGGCCAGGGCTAGAGGAGGATGCGTAGTGGATGGGCGATGAATCTGTGTCTGTTAGCGGTGCATACTAGAGCTCATATCAGTCTCTACATACCACCAATCGTCATGGCAGACGCCTTTGGTGTCGCACCGCCATCACTCTCTTCCTCGCCATTCGCTGGCCCCGAATTGGAGGGGTTTGCAGGCGAGGAGCGGAAGAAGAGCGGGGATTGTGTCGAAGTGGTTTGGAATCTTGCATTGCGAGGAGTCGCTTGCGATCCACGTTGCGACGCCTGAGAAGCTTCGGACTGTAACTGCTCCTCTGGACCTACTGGCGCTGAGCTGCTGTCGGATATCTGAGAATTCTGACCACGGGCGCTTCGCCGTGGAGTCGCCGACGCAGAAGTGCGCTGAGAGCGGCGCTTCTCTGGGGAAGACATGGTTGCGGTGCTCTATGCGGCAGCAACGGTGAATGTGTTGATGTTGTAGAGGGGTTGCCAGGGAAGGTGGGCTCGTCGCGCCTACTCCTTTCGCAACGACGCGTGGGACGCGTTCTAGGCTAGTATGCAAACGGACGTAAGTGGTCTTGGCATACCCGAGACAAGTCCAATTGCGGGCCAAAAGACGACTACTACGAAGATATCTTTTAATGAAAGACACCGAGAAGACTCTGCAAGCATCAAGTGCGATTTGACAGCATTATGTGTACACATGTAGACCAAGCTGTAGACTAATTCTACTAGTGGGGCAACTAGCCCCGCTGTGAACAAATGTTTACAAGCAGGCAACGACGAACAGCGACACTAATCAACTCAACTAAACCTCCAACCCTCATTCTTTGCCTTCCCCAATCACAAACTCAACCCTCCGATCCGTAACCAATATCAATCTTGACCATGGCGCCTCCCTCTAAACTCGCAATCGCAACTGGCGTCGTAACCCGCCTTGTCAAGGAAGAAGCCAGCTACCACAAGGAAATCGAGCAGCAAGAGGCGCGCATCAAGAAGGCTGAAGCCAATGAGGGAGATGAGAACGGCGAATACACCCTGAAGCAAGAGGTACAGAGTCTCGGCCATCCTGATACCAAACATGATTACTAACTGTGGTGTAGCGTCAAGCACTCCAGGAGACCAAGAACGTCCTGCCTGGCATGAAGACCAAGATTGAGCAGGCAGTTGAGCGGCTGGAGGAGGAGCTCGTAAGTTCAGGATGCTATGGGCTGGGTATCCCATACTAACAATCTGTAGGAGAACAACAAAGAAGGCGGCGCCCAGGCATCACCGGAGGAAATCACCAAGGCGAAAGAGGCTGTCGAAAAGGGCAAAGCGGCCATGCGTGAAGCTTCTTAGATTCGTAGCTACCGAAGAGATAGTCGGTACCACTGCCGTATGGTAGTAGTACAAAGATGATGGAATGATACCCGAACACCGCGCTATGCAATCAAATCATCAAAGAATCATCATCTACATGTGATCACGATTCGTCCATCTTGGTGTCTGTGCGATCTTCGCCATCCTCCTCCCCATCTTCAAGATCCTCGCCCTCTTCCAGACCAGAAGAGTCACCATCATTGGCATCTCCTGAGTGTGCTCCAAGCTCTGCCATCTCTGTGTCATCGGCGGCACCAGATCTAGCAGGTGAGGGCGCGGCGCTAGCTTCCCGTGATAGAGGCTTCAGGCGATCTTGTGGTGGTACGCGTAGGGACGAAGAGCCGTCTCCGCTCTGGCTGGCATGCCCAGGTGTCATGCCACCATCTGGTCGCGGTGTACCGGCATGGCTAGCGTCTCCTCTAGAGGTGCTGCCCTCGCCTTCGCCATCTTCGTCACCATCCTTCATCATGCCCTCCTTGCGCTCAGCCTCCTCCTTCTCGTCCTTGATCATGCGCAACATGCCGCGTGCTTCTTCCTCGATTCGTCCGAACTGCGTGCGTCGCTCCTTCCAGGTAGCCTTAGCCAACCGGACTTCTGAATTGAGCTCCTCTATCTCCTGGTCCAGCTTCTCGTGGGCGTGTGCTTGCTCGTCCCGTGGCTTCAGCATCTTGCTGTTGGTGATCTTTTCCGTGAGCTCGTCGTACGTCTTGCGCACGGCCAGCGTCTCTTTCGCCTCGACCAGTCTGACGCGCAGGTTCTCTATGTTCTTGCGCACGTGCTCCTGCTTTGCCTCGATGGCCGTCTTCTCATCGGCGTAACGCGCGCGCTCGGTGTGGTTGCTATTCGTGGTGAATTCGGATCGAACAATCGCAAAGTCCAGCAGTGATAGCTCGTTCATGATGTCTTTCCGCCATATCTCGATCTTGTGCGCTTGTTGCTCGCGCTCGACAGCGACTGCTGCGGCCTCTTCCTCTGCGCCTGAGGCATCCGGGGGCGGGGAGGGAAGTTGTCTGGGGCGCGCATCCTCGAAGAAGTCTGGCTTGAGTATGCGGCTGGCCGTGTTTGTGTATGGGCGTGCTTCGACAGCTAGTAGGCGGGCTACATTGTGCAGCGCATCTGCTGGAGTTAGTCGGAGCTTGGTAGTGAGTGAAAGACGCCTTACCCTCATCTGGTTGGGAAAGCAGACCCCAGTCGTTGATCGCCATATTTTCCGAATGGTCGAAGAACGGTGAGATGTTGTTTGTGGTATTGTACGTCGTCGTCGTCAAAGTCGCGATGCTGAGGTCCAAGAGTTGAATCGATCAACGCGTTTGCAGGGGTCCGCTAGCGCTTATGATCAGACGTCAGAGACCGACCACTACGCCTTCTACACTTTCACTCACTCTTCACTCTCTTCATCATTCTCCTGGTCATCGCTTCGCATCCTTCTGGCAAGCGTCACTCTTACAACCAGCTTCTTGATCCGGACTAGCCCACCAACATGCTGCCGTGAGCCCCGTGGGGTCCTCAGCCCCATTTACGGTTCACGCCGCCCTCGTTCCGCCTGTCCATGATTCACATTACATAGACAACACCCTATCAACGAACACCGACGAACCTGTCAGCAAACCACCTCTCTACCACCAAAACCCTTCAAATCCCGACCCGTTTGATCTTTGCATTTCGCCTCACAACACTATCTTACGCAACGCTTTTGGATATATCCTCCGCATAAACATCACCGTCACCATGCCCGTCGCAAGCCTCTTCGAGCTGGCTCGACAGCGCCTCATCAAGAATATCGATATGCTCCGCGACGTCGGCGATCTACCCTACTCCTTCCTCCAGCCAGTCCTCCGATTCATACAAAGCCCCGATCAGCTGCTCGAGCTCGAGGCCAACTGCCCACAACTACTCGGCGAAACGGGCGAGATATGGCTTCGCTTTATCAAGCGAGACATTCCGAACTGGGAGACGAAGCCCCATGAGCCGCGCGATCCTCGGAACTGGAGCAAGGTGTATCGCAAGTTGAAGAAAGATGCAGAACTGGAGATAGAGGCGGATAAAGAGGCCCTCAAACAGCAGATGCAAGCGCTACAGAAAGATCGCGGACAGAACAAGACCTTGATCGTCGAGACCAGGTTTGGATACGGTGCCGGCGCAAGCAAGATGTTCACTGGACGCACTACCAGCAGCTGGGGGCAACCGTCGGGTGCACCTTCAAAGACGGGCAAAGCCGCTTTCGACAAACTGAAGCGCGGCATGTTCGACCATGGCCGTGAGCGCCCGAAAGCGAGCCAAATTCCAGCACATCTTCTAGCTCAGCGAAAGACCAACGTCAGGCAAGCACCAGCGAGGATGGTTCGAATGGCGGAGAATGAGGCTCCGAAAAGTATGGTAGTGTCCAAGCAAGCTTCCGCGTCCGTTTCCAAGAAGCAGGACACTCAGCCCGCGCCGTCACTATCCGCGAATCGCCCGACCATTACACAGAGGCCTGCACCGCAGCAACGCAATGCGCCGCCACCACCCGCGCGGACCTCCTTACCACCTGGGATGCACTTCAGCGCACCCAAGCCGAAGCCGACGAATGCGCAGGCAGCGGCCGATCCGGCGCCGAAGAGGAAGAGGGTAGAATACAACATGTTTCACACAAAGAAGAGGAAGATTTAGAATGTTTTTAGGGTTGATGTTGGCACGAATAATGTACCAGAGAGATGAGTACAATCAGGTGTATTGACGGTGGACCCTGTATCAGGATGTGCACGTCTGGCTTTTGATTTGGGTATCACTCAATGCTTTTGGAGTTCAGGAGCATGCCCGTTTGCGATATCAGGAGCTGCATTTATCGGCGTTGCACTTTGGGTAATCATGTCTCTTTTGGGTCTGGGACCATAGACTTCTTCCATGTCTGTACATTTATTATTACCTCTTATCAGTCCCTTTTTCGTTTCTAGGCTGTGTTGATATGTGAGGTGGTTGAGATATCGTTGGAAGACTTGAGATGGATTGATCACAAGCAAACGCGCAGTCTTGGCGCTATCAGGTGGGCGCGCGCAAGCAGTTGACACCCAACAACCGTTACCCACAAAGTCCGTCTGCGCACTTTCAATATCCGCGCTTCTCCCGCTCAATCGAGGCGCGCAAGCTGCGCAGTCAGCTGAAACGGCGACACCATGGACGAGCTCAGTGTCGCTTTCAGCGCTCTCAGTCTGCACGGCCCCAGCTTCTTCCGGATCCTTGACTTGCCTCTTGTAAGTAGTGCGCTCTGACGCACGGTGCAATGATCGTATGCTAATTGCGTTCTCAACTATCAGGAGCTGTTCAGCAGCGTCTGTGACCACTTGGACGACGACTCATTGCGAAAGACTCGACTGGGCTGTCGCACTCTCAGCCATCGTTCGGCCTTCACTTTCGGATCACGCTTCTTCACTCATCTTGTGGTGATACCCCACACGGAGAGCTTGACCGTCTTGTTGCGCTACGCTCACCATCAGAGGTTTTCGCGGTTCGTGAAGACTCTATCGATCAGCGGCGAAACCGGCCCGCCTTCGACGACTTACCCTGGCATACATGCGTCGACCGTGGAAGATATGCTCACCGAGGCGCTTCGGAGTTTCGCGAATCTGGAGACCATTCGAATAGATACCTGTTCGTATCTGCGCTTGGAACACCTTTCCTCAGAAGCGATCGATCTCCGTTGCGGCCCAGAGAGACTCCGTATGGAACAGCTTCAAGGCAGCTTCACCGCCCTGCATCACTTGATTCAAGTGATGATGAGATCTGTGGAGCGAGCTATGGTTCGCGATAAGATTTGCCTCGACTTGAGCTTACGTTTCAGAGACTGGTCTACGTTGCCTCCATCGCCCAGAGCATGTGAGCTTTTCGACCTCAGCTTACCTTATTGGAAGGATTCTTTGTCATCCAAGGTTCTAAAGCTTGAGGTCACTACCTTGGGTACCGGTAGATGGTCTCACAACCTTGCTGCTTCGTGCTCGTCATTGCAGGAACTCAGTCTGCTTCCTCATCGTGGACATGTCAAGTTTGGCAACGCCCAAGGTGGTTTGCATATTTGGCCGCATCTTCGGTCACTGGCTATCCTTGGTGGCTGTATCTGTATCACGAGTGCTGTTTTCAACGATTTTTTCAAGATGCACAAAAATACACTGGTTCGTATTACACTAAAGCATGTCTCTTTGCAGAACGAGTCCTGGTCAGGAATGCTACAGACTATCTACGGACTACCGGCTCTACAAAACATATGCTTTGCTTGGCTGAGTCAGCGTATAGCCTATCCAACACTAGAACCATGTTCGGATAGAGTGTCGACATGTCGACAGGGGGTCGCATGTAGCAACCGATCAGATGTTTTGCTCGTCATGGGAGCCTTGCTTCCAGATGCATACACCTTCGAGTTCGGCTACCGTGACGGCATTAACTATCAGATTGACTTCACACTGGCTAACGCTGCTCTGTTGTCCGCCTGGTCGGTCGCTTTGTCAACTGATTCCCCATCCACTCCGTGGTCGAAGTTGCGGGAGGACCTAGAGAGAGTATGGCACGGAGATAGGAATATCCTTGCGTGGTTGTAGCACCAAAATGATAATCAAGACAGATACTGTGACTGTAAATTGTGGGTATGCCACGTAGCTTCGCCAGACACAGGATACTGAGGCAGCTGGTCAGAAGTCAAGCAACGACTCCGGCTATCAGAAAGCAAGCTACGTATGCATTGCCGTTGCGGGCAGGGAATGGCTTGAGAAGACAATGTACGCAATAATAATTACATAGCCTACTTTATCTCGTAGATGACTAGGTGACGTGTCTTCCATGAATTTTCCTAGGCACCAGGAATGCTCTCCGCTGCTAGCTTCCTCTGTCGTACCTTCTCTCACATCAGGTTCAGGCTTAGCGTAAAAGCGCACGACCCGGGTGTTGACAAACGGGCAAGAGCGTCTCGCTCACACGATCCCTCACCTCACATCGACGCAGACTCGGCGACCTCGTCTCCTCCATCGCTACACATGTGCTGGCAGTGCATCAAAGACAGGGTCACTGCTAGTGAAAGGGCAAGGGCAGCTCTCGCTAGAGCGTCCCAGCCACCCTTTCGACTACTTGACCTCCCCGCTGAGATCGTAGGCAGCGTCTCCGACCGCCTTGAGGATACTGACCTTCTCAATCTACGTCGCGCATGTCGAGCACTCAACGCGCACTCGGCCAACGCATTCGGAAAACGGTTCTTCCATCACCTCATCGTCATCCTACATCCTACCAGCCTCACGACGCTTCTCGAGATCTGCCATCATCCTTTGCTATCTAAGCATGTCCGCAAGATCACTGTAAGTGGCGAACGCATCGGACAGAGCATAAATGGAATCGAACAACAAGACCTCCACATGGATCTGCAAGTCAGCGTCGAGCGCTCGGGCATGGATACGTTGACTCTCAAAGAAGCCTTCCGGGAGCTGGAGAATCTAGAGATGGTTCGAGTTGATGTCGTCAGTTTCTATCATCTCGACCCGGAGCCAACAGACGACGGCATCAGGTGTGGACGGGCCCACATCATCCCGGCAAAGCTCCTCAACCCCCCTGCTTCACCTGAGAGGCACGGAGACAGCGGTAAGAACCGAGTATACGATTTGATCCCAAAGATTCTCCTGGACGCCGGTGTACATGAGAAGGTCGGTTTGCAGTTTGAGTTCTGGAACACGGAATATTCTAACGAAGATCTGGTGACATTCCTGGATCTCGATTGCGAAGTCTGGAAGTGTCAGCTATCCAGACGAGTTCACTCGGTAGGTGTCCTGGGCCAGGTGGATCTTGATTGGCTGTGCCGACTGCTCAGTGCAACCTCAAGTCTGCGCAGATTCGTGTTCGGGGCTGACAATCATTTCATGGAATTGTCTTATCAACCAGTTGGACCTTTCCATTGGCCTGGATTTTCACATCTTCACCTAGAAGACGTGTTCTTTTCACACACTGACTGGACCAATTTCCTTCGCACGCACGCCAGTACACTAAGAAGCCTGTCATGCTCATCCATAGGCTTTCCAGAAGGAGAATGGACCGAGCCGTTACAGATCATCGAGACAATGCCGCGAATCGAATACCTGTGGCTTGTCAAGTTGCTCGAGAAAGCACCTTATCCACATTCATCGATGACTGTGAGACGCTGGAGCCGAGAAGATGACGGGGTCTTGCTACTCTCGGACCCAGAAGATGTCCAACTTGCTCTGAGTGCGATGCGCAGTCAGCCGAGAACGGTGTTCATGGGCGCTGGCATCAAGAGCGAGGCGGGTGAGGTCTATCCCCATAGGGTTTCCTTCGATGTTGGTGAAGCAGCGCTGGCAAGAGACATCGTCTATCAAAATGGTGAATGGACGTTCGCCGACACATTTCCAGAATTTTAAGAAGCTCTTCGGCACCTGAGCGAACGCGGCGTTCGGGCATGTTCATGAGACTTGTGGCACTGGAACAGAGTTGCAGAGTAACACCTTCATTCACTTCGTGCTGCTCATAAGACGGACATGCACATGTCAATTCAAATACATACCTAAGCTACACACTCTTAATGCATGCCTTTTTCTTCATGTCGTCGCAGCTCCATGCCGCCGAGTTCAACAGGCGGTTGTTCAATTTCCACAGGTTCGTGTTTGTATGCCACCGCTCCTGGTCCCAACTCCTGAATATGCTTTGCGTGGACCTCGTATGGCGTCACGCTCGTAAGCTCCGTAGAACCTGACATCTCCCGTGGGCGTGACGAATGCCGCCTCCTCATGATGAAGAACACCGCTAATCCAATTATTATGCCCAGACCTATGCCTCCTCCGACTGCTGCTCCCGCTATCGCGCCCGTCGACAAGCCTGAGGAGCCTGGGGGAGTGGGTGTGGACGATGGGGTCGATGTAGGCGTAGGCGTGGATGTGGCAGATGGTGATTCACCAATGGCGCCGGCGTCGCAGAAGTCGATACTGTAGTATACGAAGGTCGAGTTGTAGCAGTCGATCGGTTGGATCTCTTCTTGGAAGCCGGAGCATATGTCGACCGTCGTATCGTTCATGTAAATGGTCACTGCGCGCATTGTTAGCATGGCCGTCCAAGGCTATCGCGTTGAGGTCTCGCGAGGTAACATGCCTGTGCATCCTGGGTCCAGGCCGACGACCTGGAAGCTGCCGTAAGGCCCATTGCGCCTGAGATCTGTGCAGGTACCATTAGGATAGCCATTTGGACCCTCTAAACCTCGCAGTGACTCTTGGCAGTTATCATCCTCGAAGAGCGCTATCTGACTCGTTGCGAAAACGCGAGCAGCAAGTGCTGTCAGGAGGAGGAAGAGACGGTTATGCATCATCGCGTCGGCGCGCGGTACGTTAGCCGCAAATTGGCTTTGACGAGGCGGCTAAGCAGACAACCAGAATACGAGGGCGCCGGATCATTTCATAGCTGTTATAACCACAGCGAGTGTACGGAGCTGACAACTGATAAAGATGCAAGGCAACCTGGAGTTAGTTGCCCAGCTCTTGGGGGTCGTATCCATCATAGCTTCACAGGCCTGACCACTCCTTTCCTGACCTGGCATGCAGGATGCGGCATGGGTAACGTAGGCAGCGAATCGAGGCGAGGCTCTAGATTGCATGAAAAGCCACGCTGTGTTCCTGCGGGCCCACAGTGCGGCTGAGGCACTGATATCTTTTTCAGGGCTATTAGCTGTGCTGCTGTATCACAGTGGATGTTATCCGATTGTGTGCGATGATCGTCCTCTGAGATGTTGCTGGTGTCGCGACAGCCTGCGCGCGTGCAATGAGCCCACACGTAAGACGGCCCCTGTCATTGTGGATTAACAACCGCTTCAAGTATACAACGAAGGATTGACTGTTCCCGCAGATGGCTTACTGATGGTCTGTAAAGGAGCGCCAAGTTGGCTTGGGAAGAATGCGGGTACCCGTTCCGCGGCGAAAATTTGGGGGCCACGGAAAGAGCCGTGGGGCCATGACTGTGTGATTCATCCAAGGCTCCATGTCGCACTGCAGGAGAGCTACGTACAACACCATCTTCGATACTCAGATTCTACCATGTCTTCGGGGAAGCAGCCAAGGACCCTTCTGTTTGGTGCCGGTAGCGTCGGAACTGTATACTTGTACCTGCTCAGCAAGGTAGCCGCGACCACTGCCGTCTGCCGCTCGAATTATGAGGTCGTAAAAAAAGATGGCTTCATCATCAATTCATCCATATTTGGTCAAAACCTCCATTTCAGACCCAATGTAGTCCGAGACTGTGGAGAAGCAGCGTCTCAATCATCAGATCCATTTGACTACATCATCGTCTGCAGCAAGGCTATCCCGGATACGGTACCGAAGCTCATCGCTCCTGCCGTCACACCTGGACATACGGCTATCGTACTTATTCAGAATGGTGTCGGTATCGAAGAAGAATACTCGAAGGCATACCCAAACAACCCGATCATCAGCGCTGTCGTCTATATGCCCGCCACCCAACGGCCAGCCGGCGTCATCAAACACGGTGAAGTCGAGAAACTTCAAGTCGGAGCCTATCCTTCTTCTGCACCAAGTAAAAGTGCTAAAGCGTTCACGGAACTTGTCACAGCAGCCGGTGCTACAGCGGAATTCTACGAGGACGTTCAGCAGAAGCGATGGATGAAACTACTTGTCAACGCATCCTGGAACCCCATGTGTGCCCTCGCTCTCAGCAAAGACACAGATATCTTGACTGCCTCGAAAGAGGCCAACGGTGTTGTACTAGCTGTGATGCTTGAGATTCGCGACATCGCAGCTGCCTATGGATACGAGATCACGCGGGAACAGGTGGACAATCAGCTTAGCCGGGCGCAAGCCAGGATCCCAACGAACGCTGGAATTGAACCTAGTATGCTTCAGGATGTTCAGTCGAATCGCAGAATAGAGGTAGAGGCTATCGTGGGCAACCCCGTTCGCATGGGTAAGGAGAAGGGTGTGGCGTGCGTACGTTTGGAGATGCTCTACATTCTCGCAAAGGCTTTAGATCTTCAGATTGGACGGAGGCCTTGAAGTCGGAAGCTACATTGCGATATGGATCTGTAGGTAAAGTCTCATCAACCACGCACCTTCCGGCTTCAACTGGATCTTATTTCTATGGTCCTTCCCACCGACTTGAGCGAACGCCATGTTCCATAAACACCTCGATCCGGGGGTCTCTCCTTCCACTGGCACTATATCCTAATCAAACATATTCTTCGTATGTGATAATAGCGTTCTGGCGGATAGCGAGTCTCGTCGCTGTCCCTTTCACTTCTCGTCCACCGCCGGTATCGCGCCAAGCCTTCCGTTTGTCCAGCGCTCCGCATCGCAATTCGCGACTCACCACCGCTTTTTCAAAATAAATCGTCATCATTTCCACAGTGACCAACGATAGGCACGGACCTAGCCACAATAGCAGTCAAAATATCTTTTGCCCACACACAAAGCGATACAAACCCTCAAAACACCCGTCCTGCTTCATTGCTCTCAGTTTCCAAACCAAACACTCCAATTCTTTCCCATCGCAGCTACCAACATAAGCTCCTCTATTTGAAGATACCCAAAATCTCATCATACCCTACTTTGCGAGCTCACCTGCCGCACGCTATACCGACAAGATGCGCACTGTCACCATCGCCCTTCTTTGCTTTCTCTTGCTAGTAGCCCTCGACATCGGCCGCGTCGTCGCATCATCTGAGTTCTTTCCGCTTGTTGTTCGCAGCCTCCAAATCGCCGTCTCATACCTATACTGGGAGATTTGCTGGGAAGTCTACTATCAGTGCACCCACAACTTCGAAGGAGTTCCCCTCTACCTCCGCTTCATCACTTCTCATCTGCGTCTACCTTACCTTCGCCCTATACGTATATATCAAGTATACCTACTGGATAGGCCCTCATTCCGAGGCCGACCAAGACGACCTCCATGATCCTGCCGAAAAGGGACAATCGCAAGAGACGAAGCTCCCTGTCACTCCCACCATCGCTCACATCACACCGCCGCCCGTCGCACTACCACCTGCCAAGCCAGCGCCTCCCTCATACCCACCACCGTTCGAGTACCCCTTCACCAACTTCCGCGGCACCGGTGAGTCGTTCGCACACTCCGATCGACGCAACCCGACACACTATTCCGTTCTTCAACTGCCGACTTCTTGGGGCAATACCCGTCGCAAAGAACGCGATTACTGGCGGTCTGCACCTAGGCAACCATCACCTGCCTATAGGTCTACCGAGCACGAGAAGGTCGCCGCGGCACCTACCATACCGAAGCCAGAAGTTCCTCAGTCCACTACCAGGTCGAAAACTACTATCACGAAGGATCACGTAGTCATCGCGCCTGCCCATAAGGTTGTCGAGCTACCTCCGATATACACTCTTACCCAACCCCCACCTACCCTCCCATCAGCTCCCTCGATCGACCCTCAGCTAAAGGCTTTGCGAGATGTGGAGGATAAGAAGCATCTGGTTGTTGCTGAGATGAAGTCCTTCCTAAGTACCATCGGTACTGATGCCGGATGTGAGGCACCAGCTGCTCAAATCTTGGCCTTGATGGTTGCAGCGAAAATGCACCTGATGCCATTCTTCCCAGGAGGGCTTTCTAGCCTTGACCGGGATTTCTTCATCTGGAAAGACGCAATTGTCGAGTTCTGGTGCCGATTTCGGCCATATGGGTGGGAGATCCGAGAGGATGAAGATGGGAGGCTGCGAACATTCCTTCAGCTGTACAGAGATACTGCCATCTGGTTGGGGTTGGAACACCATCTTGATGACCTCACAGTTATCGCCAAGCTAGCTCAGCCTCCCGCGTCAAGTACGCAAGATCTCCAGCACCCAAGATGGGGACGCTGTCCGCCATCCCCACCACCACTGTGTACCTCCCCGCCCCCGTCATCCCGACGGCTCCGCAGCCGCAAAAGGCACCGAGTACCTCCGCGCCTATCCAACAGACACCTCCCCAGCAGCCGATAGTGGCCCAAGGTGCAACAGCCCTCATTGACTTCGGCAATGAAGATTGGTTCGGCCTGCCGGATGATCAGCTCAAAGAGCTCAAATGGAGGTCATTCAACTGGCCTAATCAGCAGACCGCCAGCTTGAAGATATGGCACTTCAATGTACTGGAGCTCACCCAGTTACCTACGCAGCACCCAGAGTTCATCATGGCCTCATATGTAAAGGCAGAACTTGAGAAAGCGGCACCCCTCCTCAAACGCGCTTCAGTCGTGTTTCGACTCCAAGGTCGTAGATGCCCGTGGCCTGCCGACCTTGAAATGGCACCATTGTTAGGCAGATTGGGACTCTCGGGACGAATGGTACAAAGCCTGCCAGTACCTCCATGAGAATGTCTTCAAAGACAAGAGGGTCTGGGCATCGCTATGCAATCGTTACGACTCCGATGACCCGGATGAGAACGACAAGGAGGACAAGACTGGTCCTCTCAGGAGGTTGTGGGAGAAGATGGCGCCGACATGGCTTCCAGACATCGCAAAGCCTTGATTCCGACGTCGTTGTATACGTCTCACACCATCATCAGCTGTCATACCGACGGCCTCACAGTCTTCAAATACCTCCTCGGTACTTCACGCCGTTTCAAACTTCGCCCACAACATGGGTTGTAGTCCTCAACACCTCTCTTGTCTTCCCAGTTATACATAGAACGCACCAATGTCACCATATTAAGCAGTGTTATTCCAAGTGAAATGTGTATTAATGCTCACTCCCTATCTAAGACAATCGAAGGAAAAGATGTTGTACATTTCTAAGAAACCAAGGCACGACTATCGTTGAGGTTATACATTATTCGCGCCATGCCAAATGAGAAGCGACGAAAGGCGCTTAGGCGGAGGGGGTAGCGGGAGCCTCAGCAGTGGGGTTGACGTCGGAGCAGATGAGAGCCTGGCCGAGGATGGGGATGAGGCAGCACTTGGCCTGCTGGCCGGACTCAGCGCATCCGTCGATGAACTGGTTGATGCTGGTGGGGGTGGTGGTGGCTGGGAAACTGTTAGTGATCATGTTTTTGATTGGAAAGAAGATGGGAAGGACGCACGAGGAGCGCAGTCCAAGTTAGCGAGGTTCAGGACATCGGTGGCGCAGCAGACGGGGTTGCCGGAAGAGCAGAGGCCAACCTGGCGCTCGTCAAGGGGAGCAGCGAAGGCAGCGGTGGCGGCGAAAGCGACAATGGCGGTGATGGTGAACTGCATTTTGAAGGTTGGTTGGGTTGGTTGGTTCTTGGGAAAGAAGAAGTTGTTGGTTTGGAAGTGGTGTTGTAGAGTTGTTGGTGTGAGTTGAATGTGTTGGATGATGTTCAATTGTCGAGGCATCGTTGCCCTCTTTATACCTTCTCAGTCCTCATCTTGTTCAAGGTTCATTCCAAGTACACGCTTCATTACATTGCCATCGTCATCAAACACCGGCATACCCAGGCTACGATCGTCATCGACGCCAGGGGAATTAGCTGACAGCCGGGAGCGCACGTCCATAACGGTCAAAATAACGGTGACAGGTCCACCTGGCGTCCCCAACTTCTTCATGGCGAGTCTGCACCCGGCCAAGAATGACGTCGATCTCAGCTGGTTTGGCTCTGTGGTACCTGGCTGATCATGCTGACTGGTTGGTACCGAGGGTGGAGTATCCGTTAGGGCTGTTGATCTCGAAACCTGCACGGCTGGAGTTGCTGTCGCATGAAGAATGGATACTGTGGAACGTAGATCGATATCGGAGGTATAGCCATTCAGGGCAGGGATCAGATGTCGAACGCGAACATACTTACACATTGGGCATCTTTTCGCTGCCCCTGGCGCGTACATTTGCTGCAGGGTGTCCTGGCTGTATGCACGTTATCCACGTCAAAGGCTCTCATAGGGTTTTGTGGCTGCCCCAGACTATGCCATAGGGTGGTCGGACACCCTCCACGAGTTGAGGCTTCAGCGCCAGTGACGTACCCTGAGCTGGGGTACCGGCTACCGGAGCGCTCGTTCACAGGCGCTGCATAAGGCTCATCTCCGAGCCTCAAGTTCACCAAGTCAAACGCTTGTGGGAGTGGTCTGAGTGCGCGTAGACCGCCTGAACGGCACCTAGCATGAATGTGTATTCATGCGAATATGAGAATGTGTACACGATCGTCGTCTTGCTTTGATCGATCGACTTGGTGGAGGCGATGCTTCATCGTCACCCACACCACGCGTTCATTCCAACCTTGAAAATCTTTCTTTAGCAACCGGCAGATTTACCAGAGCTGACCCATGACAAGGTGTGGCAAACAGCTGTCAAAGAACTCAAGCGCCTCAATACGCCATCCGATGATGCTAGAGGTAGGTGTGACGAAGTCCAGAAAAGCGATCGAAACGTGGGGCTAAGGGGTTTAGCAAGGGTATTGGCGAATGGGAATCTAGAACCAGCTTCCAAGGAAGCCCTGTAACACGGTGGAAAACCTGGTGATGGTTCGGCTAGCGTTTGATATAGCACAAGGATGGGAATCTATAGGTACTCACAAAGTTCAAACGACAAAGGCTGTCAAATTGTGCGAACTCTCGCAAGGCTGACGTTTACATCCGTAATATCCGTTAGAGTTTGGATGAGGCCATTCGCAATTATCTGGTCAGCACAACGGTACCTGCAATCGGACCTAAATGACGAAAGACCATGTCCATCTCAGGAGACGTTGTGAAAATGTATGGAACGGAACGTTGCATGCCCAGGCGGCCGTTAAGCCCCACTTGACCGCGCCTTGCCTGATCCTGGCGTGACAGCCCGAGCAGCCGACCTCGCTTGCATCGATCTACGTCACAACAAAGACCCGGTTCCTGACAACGCAGCAAGATCTGAACAAGTCGTGCAGGACGATTTACATCATTTTGCTATCGCGCAGCCAATCGCGACAAACACTTCATTTAACTGAAGTGCATTCTTTGAGGCGAAACGCATTCTTCCACGCGATCCTGCCAGCCTATTTACGCGAGGGCGGCGAGGCTGATGGCCTAGTGCGTGTGGTGGCGCAGGGTCGACGAAACTCAGGAGCGGACGTGACAGCTCAAGGCGGTAAGTACAGCACATGCAGCGCGTAGTGGAAGGGCCAGAAGCAATGCGACGCCATGGTACTGAGATGCTCGCGCATTGCGATGGAATGTGGCCATGTGCCAGATGTGCCAGGGACATTTGCGACACACCAGGAAGGGCACGGCCATGCCCCCGAAGCTCTTCGGTATCCGCCAACAGTCACCGCTCTCCTCATGTTGTTCTAGAATGACCCCAGGGTCAGATTCTAATCGACCTCTGCAGTCAGACTGCTACTACAGACAACACTACATTCGACGGCGTGAATGTCAACTTTGAGTTTGATTGATCTGGCGCTTGATCGGGTCTACAAACGCCACGATGCCGCTACGGGGCGACTAAGATCTCGAACCAACACCATAGCAAAGTGGACGACGATAGCCGATTACTGACTACAGTAGCAGCATCTGACCGCTTATTTGACAATTCTAATAACCCTTCTGGCGACTACCAAAGTACATGTAGAGACTTGTAAATGGTGTCCTTCACCGCTACTCAAACTGTACTTACGGATACTGATATCCTCCATACCTACTGCCCTTCTTGCTATAGAAACAGCCCTGTTCTCTTTCTTTTGGTCAACATGGCTTGCAACAAGTGCAAGTGAGATTTCGTCAGCCTTAGATTCTGCTTTCAACCATATTTGCCTCTTCAAGTTCCGAATCGCCATCGTGGTTTGGGCGACTCCAAGACTCTGAATGAAGGCGTCGCAAAAACTATCGCTAATGAGCTTGCATCTGGTCGTGATTACATAGGTTTACATCTGACCTAGAAGCCTACGATCGTCAAGAAGCAGATAATCCAATAGATCTGCCCTGATTTATTGCTACATCGCAACGAAGAATAAAGTAGGATGAGCTTGACAAACGAGTACAGCAGCTGGGTTTGAGGTCTCGAAGCTCTCTTTACACGGGCAGCTTCTGATTGGGATGTCGAGCATACCCAGGCGCTCAAGAATAGCATACGTTTTATGTAAATTCTAGCAATCTCATCATTTCGATACTCCGTTTCGCATCCATACCACGACTGCGTTGACATTACGCCGTATTATACCAATGGACCTGAGGCGTAGTTGAGTGTTTGAATCGATTCGGGCCGTTATGAGTCGTGCTCGCTGATAGTCCTGCGCCCCGCCTTTCCACAGTCACGTGCAGTGGGAAATAGGTCTAGCGGCGCTCGGCAGGGTTTGCCCGCCTTCTTATTTGGAGCTATACGAGCTGCGGCAGCACCAGGAACCGCCATCGTCGCACTCAGGCACCCCACCCATCACAGAACGCGAACATCGAGCGCTTCTCTGCCTCGAATCGGGTCACATCATGTCGGGTCTCAACGAGCCACAGACCTTCCTCGCCAAGTACACCTTGTACAAGCGAGCCACCGAATACATTGCAGGATGGATTGCCGAAACCGCCGCGTCCATCGGCTTCGAAGTCAAAACGAAAGAACAAAAACAGACAAAGTCGAGATCTAAGTCGAAAAAGGGCGCGGGCAGGAAAGGCAACCAGAATGCGAAAGGTGGAGGTGGTGGCACAGTATACCAACTCGGAGTATCGGACTTTGTACCCATGGCAGAAGCGATAGCAAAAGCTGGAGAAGAAGCAGAGTCTGAGATTATGGTCCCTGTTGCTTTATGCAGGCACTTCAGTCGCGCCATTCAGACACGTCGGAAGGTCTCGCAATGGTACAAGGCGAAAGTCAACCCGGATACAAACAGTGACCTGCGGCACGAATATTTCATCAAGGTTCTCGAGGACACCTTCGCATCCCTCAAGCCATTCCTCGGGTCGGGCGGACCAGAAATCGCACGCAACAATGGTTCCGCTACTAATGTGGCTGACTTATCTTCACGCAATCGCTTCGCGGGGCTGACCGTCGATGAGCTCGTGGCACTAGCCGACGAGGAAGATATTGCCGAAGATACACTCCCTGACGTATCTAATGTCACGCTCGAGGAAGCTGAGGAAGACAAAGAGGACGACTTCTGGATTGCTGTTGCGCTTATGCTACAGGAGCAACAGGACATGAGGGAGGTGGTCCGTGACAACTGGCAGAAATACAAGAGCGGCAAAGTCGACTTGATTGTGGCAGCCATGACCACGGATACGGCTATTAAGCTTGCTCAAAGTGCGGAGGCGAAGTTCGACTTGCTAGTAACACGACCGAAGAAATATCCAGTCACGGAGTATCCGGTCTGGACGCTCCCCGCCGTTCTTTTTTACAACAACCACGAGGATATGCACAAGTGGTCTCTCGCGGAGATTGCAAAGCCTTCCACCAGGCTTGGCGTTACAGCGGACGCCCAGAGTGAAGCACATTTCGACTTCTGGCCGGTCTTCGCTGGCTTGAAGTTCTACCTCCACAAGCACATGACAAAAAAGAACTCGATTCCGCAAGTGATGCCGAAGGACTTCGGCGATGCCAACATCCACAATCGAACATTCAGAGCAATCGAACATTCAGAGCAATCGAACATTCAGAGCAATCGAACATGCCCAAATCATGCGGATCGTCGCGAAAGCAGCCAAACGCCCACCACTGCTGGATATGGTCTCCAAAGGTCTATTGGACATGTTTACCGAGCACAAGATCCCAATGTGGCTTACATATGGCGTCCAGCTTCATTTCGACTCGCAAGACATCATGGGCGAGATGACCAACCGACCGCATTTTGAACTTCAGGTCTACCTGAACCATCTAATGGGAGTAGAACAGGCCATTACGAATAACTGGGAGCATCCGATGATGCCAGACAATATCCAAGATGAATGTTACAAACCTTTCAGAGAAGCATACAACGACATCAGTTCCTGGGCCAACCATGACGGATTTGCCGAACAATGGCAACAGCTTGCGCAAGATCCAAAAGTCAATGGACACCCCATCTTCGGGATGATGAAGAAAAAAGCGTTCTACATATATAAGCACCATCCTTTGCTCAACGGCATGTTGAAGTACCACTTTCTCGTTCACTGGCACGCGGCTGGCCTGTCACACGAAGCAACTTCATGTTCTCTTCTTTTCATGGCTCATGTTTATATGGGGACACAGCTGAGAAGCCCTTCCGACCCAGTGTGGCCCGACATGGAGTTCATGCTCTTCAGCCAGGATCCCCGATACGTGTTGATCAAGAGACCACCCGAGTCGCCCGAGGAAGCACGGACTCTCTTCGATCTTGCTACTGGCCAGCCCACGCTCAAGCAGGTGCAATCATATACCTTTGATCGTCTGGACCTTAGCCGTGGAGATCTAGGCCGGCCTAGATATGATCCCACTAACAAGTCTCGACTGTTCAGAGATGCAACCGTGTTTGGAGAGACTGTCTACTTGCCGCGCGGTGCTAGTGGCTGTTGGATCAAGAAGATACCCGGTGGAGCCTTTAACGGGAGAATCGACACCATTACTACGGCACTTCTCGAAGCTTCTGCTCCTGATGCAACCCGTGGCCGTCTCGCGCGCGCGATGCAAGCCTCTCAAGAGCAGCAGGGACTAAAACTGGAGCCTATTAACGGCAGAGACGGACTCACATCTGTTGCTATTCTGGAACATTTTGCTTTCTGGCTGCAGGCTGACTTGCCAGATCTTTATTTCAACGGAACGTTGATGCAGCGGCAATGCTCAGATACGTGGAAAGCCATCTACGCAGCGCTCGAGAACGACCCAGCTTGGGATCCGTCTTTCTCAGAAACCGGACGATCGCCGCAACATGCAGCGAATACCATCATTACTACGTCCCTAATCGAAGGGAAATATCCTCGGTTCATGGACATAGCGCGCAGAGTGATGCGCAATCATCTACGGCAACAGGAAGAAAACTATGAGAGCGCGCAAAGCGAGGTATGCTTGAAGGATTTGACGAAGTACCACAAAGGAGCCGCCAGGCTCTTTACGGATGATGGACCTTTGAATGTGGACAACTTGTACAAAGGTTGGTCGCAGGAGCACAGACAACAGAGGAAGCATAATTTTGCGGCCGCTGCCGCACAGGCCGAGGTCACAGCTGGGAATGCCGAGTTGCAAGAGATGTTCCAAGCACGGGCGATGCAAGCCATGAGTTCGATGATTACGGGCGGCGCGGCCGACCAGTGTATGGTGATGTAACGCATCATCGAAATTTCAACGTGTTTTGCATCGCGCGTAATCACCCTATGCTTCGAACCTTTAGGAATGTCACGCTTCTCAGTATGCGAGTTGTTATGGTGACGTTACGTGAAAGACATTACCCAGCATCCTCGACGAGGCAGCACCCTGAGACTAGCCGTTTTGGGACGGCTGCCTGAAAGCCACAACACAGTAAGGAGTTGCAGCCTTGCTCACGGGCGTTTGAAATGGAATATAAAACTCACAGTAAGACGACATGAAAATGACATTCAGATACATCGCGACGTCTCTTGACAAAATTTGACGTTATATTCCTATTCCTGCACAACATCACCGAAACACTCTACCAACGATCCTCCGATCGCATCAAAATGGCACCAATTTCAACCCCTCTCAATATCACTAATGTCGCAGACGGGGAAACGATCCATCAGGTATGGTGCAATTCCTATGTTGACCGTCTATAACTAACACGTACGACAGCGCTGTCTCCTAGTCACGGGTACCTATGCGCTTACCGCTGCTGAAGGGAGTTACATCCATGTTGCTACCAAAGGTGCAAACAAGGCCGACTCCTTTCCCGAGCAGACGTGGCCGATAGCAGGCGGTAACTTCAAGGCTCTCGTTATGCTCTCGCCAGGGCAGAACGTCCTGGAATTTGCCTACGTCTGCAATGACTGCCTTGAACACACCATCGAGTTAAACGTCAACTACATCCCGCTCTTGCAGTACCCGCCTCTTCACCTCGCTATCATGGTCGCCGCAGACTCGCCATGCCTCATCGACTGTCCACCTTCAAAGGCTGCGGGGATTTCTTCGACGCACTCAGACCTTGATGCAGCTATCGCCAAGCTGCGCATGGCGGCTTACATGTGGCAAGCTATGACCGCAGAAGATTTGAGGCTGCAAGGTGCTGGGCGTCGATCGTTCAGGCTGGATGAGGAGTGGGCCGCGGACACGATCAGTCGCGACTTCCTCAATGCGCGCGTTGAAGAGGCTCTCGACAGGGAAGGTGCCATGCGATCGACTGCCAAAGTCAACGTTATTCGCTCTTCCAGGACCATCAAGGACATCCGTAATAAAGAGGTCGCGCAACAGAACCCTAACGCACGTCGTGATAATGACTTATTCGACTGGTTTCTGGATGCGCTCAAGGAGCAAGGAGGCCCCTTCGCTTCCGATGCCCGACCCATCATTGCTGGGTTGATCTTGGACTCGCACTACAGCGTCCCGCAGAAGCTGATCCTCGGGCACGCAGCTCTGGGTTGCCATAACCCTGACGGAATCTCACTGGGTATGTTTGGTAGCCACCTGACCTACTCCTGGCCGCGCTTCTTGGAGGAAGTTACAGGCTGTCTTACAGACGTCCGTGCACCTGGAGACAAAGTAGGCAATGACAACGGCCAGTGCAACACTATGTGGGAAGCATGCGCCATCGGCCAAGGCGCTTTTCTCCATGAAATCGGTCACGCATTCGGCTCGCCTCACCGCTCTGGTATCATGGAACGTGGATATGCGCAAGACTGGCCCAAGAACTTCCTCCCTCAGACCGCGTACTCTGGGCACCTCAAAACAGAAGGTGTGCTCGTGGATCCCCACAACACACCCAACAAAGCTCGTTGGAACCTAGCCGATGCGCTCTCGTTCCGCATGCTACCTCACTTTCGCCTGCCTATTGACCCCATAATCAGCGGCGAAGAGCGACATGCTTCGCCCGAGGCCCACGCTGAGCACACCGACAATGAAGGCCCGACGAAACTCGTCATCAGCTCAAGCAGCGGCATCGTACGATTTACTTTCAATCGTACAGAGACAACCCAGCCCCTCGGCTGGACTCACAACGCACCGAAGCGCATTGAATATACGGAATCATCTCTCGAAGAGCGTTTCGATCGATCACAAGCCCTCCATCTCAACATCCTCGCCTACAATGGAAAGGAGACCAACATCGGCAACGTTTGGAAGCTCCTCGCCAGCAGATCATACATCCGCATCCCAGGCTCCGAAATCCGACTCGCCAAGCGCCTAGCCTTCCCCGATGAGTCCGATACTCGTCGGTACGAATGGGCGCAGCTCCTCCATGAGAAGGGCAAGGATGGAAACCTGCACCGCGCCGTTTCCATCGATCTAAGGGTCGGATGTCTATGGGATGGCGGCGTGGTGAAGTATGCAGATGGTCACACGAGTCACTGGGGACCCATGCGTACATACGGCCGTAAACACCAATTCGGTGGTCACGCTTCCGAGAAGATACGTCTTCCCGAGGGGGTGGAGATTAGTTCCGTTGAAGTCGTCCCTAGGGATGGTGTGAGGCTACATCTTAGCGACGGTACCAGCGCGGGCGAGCTCAACGCGAGGCGTGACTCGGACATTGTGAGGCTGACACCCAGCCCTGATGAGATTATTGTGGGGTTCTTTGGCAAGAGTGGGAGGGGAGGTTTCTGCGGCGTTGAGGAGTTCGGCATTATCACTGTGAAGAGAGATGTCGGGATTGCGGGGTTACCGGATAGTGTGTGGGACTTGGATGAGTTGAAGAACACGAGTGGGATGGATGGTGATGAGGACGATGAAGAGGAGGAATACCGATACGACGATGATGATGAGGACGAAGACGAAGAGATGGACTACGACGATGATGAGTGAGCGCGTCAGTTTGCAGTCCTGAAGAGCCCACAGTGTTTCGTTATCGGGGTGAAGTGAGCACCGTGCTTGAGCGCCGCAGTGTGGTAATATTAGTGTACCTGTCCCAATTTCTCCACATCTAGACGTGTAAGCGAATCGATCCACAAATCAGGCTGCCTCATCGGCAGTAAGACTAGATGATGTGTACCGAGATATCCATGCGATTTACACTTAATGTGTGTCTGATCATGTATGAGGATGCGGTGGTGAAAAGACACAGTGGCAACGAGACGAGGGTCTCGGCTCAAGACCAAGTGGTCTAGTCCAGCAACAAGGCGAATCTTCCCCAGATCACATGAAAAGTCAGACACGTCCCCGGATTCTGCCAGGACAGTCCGGCGAGCGCTCGGCTGGGTCCCGGCTCCCATGTCTCAGCGCAACGGTAGCACCACTCTTGGGCTCGTCCTGGAGTGCATAAGGCTGAAGAACCTGGGGTCTAGTTTTATGCTACGTTCGGTACGTGACTAATAGTAGGTGTTGCTTTCGACGTCGATGATGATGCTGCGGTGAGAAAGCTAGCTGTGAACGTGCCTGATGTTGAAACCTCTTAGCCGCGTGAGATGGTAGACTCCATCGGATTTTGGTATGTGTCCTGGACGTATAGGCGGTATCGATAGCTTGCTACGCTGGCTGGTTGCTTCCACTGGTCGCATAAGATGTGCAGGAACTGGGCTCTCACGATGTGATAGTCGCGCGAATCTGGTAACAACACTACCTAAGTAGAGCGTGATGCGCCTTCAAGCCATGCAAATAAAAGTCTGCGGCATTTGACTCAGCATGACCAAAGCAGATCTCTACAACCACCGGCTGGGGAAAGGGGTGAGTTGAATGCGGTGACATGCGACGGAGTCATGATAGGCCTGATGAGGTTTCCCGATGGATGAAGTCTGACACGCTCGCCGCCAAGGCCGTGACCCGACGAAGGGCCGGCCCTCTCGCTATTCCCGAAACGCGTCCGCCGCCACAAAGTACCCCAAAAAAGATACTGCTAAGCTGCAGAATTTTTCTGCTGGGAACATACGGAACGGCAAAGCTACACATTCCACACGGTAATCCCGCGATAAGCATTGCCGCTTGGCCTGTCGCGCTCAAGGCGACGCGAACTGGCGGCGCCGACCCGCTCGTAGCCGACGTGATCCTGGCTCGAAAATTTCGATCATGCTACTGTCACGGTTCAACTTCTGCATCTTGCGCGGCAAAACGACTCTGTTGCCCGCCAAGTGGACCGACGATGAAAATTTGGACGGTCGACTGGCTTTCCAGAGCGTGGAGTACGCCGACGGCTAACATGATGGCTCATGGAGTCTTGCGCCATGACTCCACTTTCTGGAGTGGTGGGTAACCGTGGTTTGATTGAAATATCGTTTTCGTCCCTGGCTCTTGCGCACTTGACATCTATCGTATACATCACAGCTTCGTCGTTGTTGTTCTTACCCTGAACCTCAAGCCCCACCCCAGGGTCCTTCGCCAATACCACCACCAATATGGCATCCGCCTCTGAGGAGATCACGCCCAAGATGGACCAGCGGTCGGACAAGTCGGTCCCGCACTCTTCGAGCGACGTCGAGAAGCAGGCCGCACCCCCCAAGGATGAGCTTCAGCGCAAGCTTTCATCCCGACACTTGCAGTTCGTCGCCATCGGCGGTACCGTAGGAACCGGAGTCTTCATTGCTAGCGGAGGTTCCATCGCCACTGCTGGGCCCGCTGGCGCGCTCCTGGCTTACGTTTTCGTCGGTACTCTGGTCTACTCCGTCATGCTCAGTTTGGCTGAGATGGCTACCTACCTACCCATTTCTGGTGCATTCACACAGTATGCTGCCCGCTTCGTCGACCCCTCGCTAGGTTTCTCCATGGGCTGGATTTACTGGTTTTCGTGGTCCATCACCTACGCACTCGAACTCACAGCCGCTGGACTTATCATCCAATGGTGGGACTCGGATCTCAGCATCGGCATCTTCATCACCATTTTCTGGGTACCAATCACGGCCGTCAACTTTTTGCCCGTTGATATTTTCGGTGAATTCGAATTCTGGTTTGCTCTCATCAAGGTCGTTGCCCTTGTCGGTTTCTGGATCTACGCCATCTGCATGAACGCTGGTGTCGGCGCACAAGGCTACATTGGCTTCCAGTACTGGAACTCTCCCGGTGCTTTCGCTCCATACCTTGCCGAGGGCCCTGTTGCCAAGTTCGTCGGTTTCTGGGCTGTCCTCATCCAGGCTGGTTTCGCATACCAGGGTACTGAGCTCTGCGCTATTGGTGCTGGAGAGTCCGCGAACCCCCGTGTCACTATGCCTTCGGCTATCCGAAAGACCTTCTGGAGCATTTTCACCCTTTTCGTCTTCACAATTTTCTTTGTTGGCATTCTGGTCCCCTACGACAACGAGGCTCTTCAAATTGGTGACACCAACGCCGGCTCATCTCCTATGGTTATTGCTTTCCAGCTCGCCGGAGTCTCCGCTCTTCCCGATATCTTCAACGCCATCCTGCTCACCGTCGTTCTCTCAGCCGCCAGCTCCAACGTCTACTCAGGCAGCCGTATCCTCGTCGGTCTTGCGGAGGAGAAGTGTGCCCCTGCGTTCCTCAAGGCTACCACCAAGCGAGGTGTCCCATACTGGGCGACCGCAGTCACCGGCGCCATGGGTCTGCTTGCCTACATGAACCTTAGCGCCAACGGTGGAGAAGCTTTCAACTGGCTCCTCAACATCGTCTCCGTCGCAGGTTTCATCGCCTGGACTTGTGTATTGATCTGCCACATCAGCTTCATGCGCGCACTCAAGGCTCAAAACATCGACCGTGACACCCTCCCATTCAAGTCATGGGGTGGCCGCCCACTCGCCATCTACGGTGTCACTTTCTGCGCCATCATCACCATCACCCAAGGTTTCACCGCGTTCGTTCCATGGAGCGTTGAGGACTTCTTCATCGCATACATCAGTTTGATCCTCTTCGCCGTACTTTACATTGGACACAAGCTCATTACCAGGAGCAAGTTCATCAACCCCGCGGAAGCCGATCTCCTGAGTGGAAAGTTCGAGGACGAAGTTAGCGAGACCTGGGAAGAATCTTCCGCCAGTGGCTGGAAGAAGATGATCAACAAGTTCTTGTAAACATTGCTTCATGGCAACAAAAAGTGTTTTGGATTCTATTCGATCCGATAGCATAGCGTAGCGTTTGAGGCATAGCATTTGCACGGCGTTTTTCATTTCTAGCGTTTAGGCCGCGGCAGATACCAGTGTTAATGTTTACTCTTCATACTTCAAATCTCTTTGATCTGCACACGGTGAACTTGTTCAGGCCTGTTACATTTGCTGATCTTTCAGCTCCTTGTGGCTGTGCACTGGTCATCTCAGCCATATCCAGTCTGTCCTTTGATCAACACCGCCACACTGTGGCTATGCTTGTTTACTGAGATGATCATCTTAACGATGGAATGAATCACTCGGTGTACAACACACACTGAGTTCACCGATCCAGGTCAACACCACCGTCATCAGTCCTCGTAGTCCAGTGCATGGACTTGTCGTGTCAGATGTGGAAACTTGATCGCTGTGACACACATGCGGAGTGACGTAGCGGGCGCCTTAAGCTTAGCCTGCAAGCATAAGATTGTGGTGTTGTGAACTCCATATTGATTTCCGAATGCCGTGGTATCGAACTCCAATATCATACAAGAACATGCTAACAAGACTCCATCGCTCAGTAAAGTGTCGAAACCGCATCAAACCCCGCTTTCTCCCTTCCAATACAAAAATAGTCGCCCTCGTCTCACTCCGCATAGCTCCATCTCGCTCGCGTCGTCTAACCCCAGAGTCTCACAACCTCCACAACGCCCAGACTCAGTGCAGTGATCTGCAGAGCGCGACTTGGTGAAAGCATGTCGGACGCCGCGCTTTCGGTGTTGTTTTTTCCACCAGTGCCCTTTCCACCCTTGCCTCCTCCTTTGCCGCCGCTGCTGGCTCGTTCTTCGAGTTGAACTTCTGGCATAACTAGGGTGTCGCGTGCGGCAAGCGCTTCGCGGAATTGGGCGCGAGATCCGATGAGTGCTGGTTCAGCTACCGCGTCTGGGTTGGCGACGGGTGCTGGGTTGGCGAGCGCGACTGTCGCGAGGAGAAGAGTGGTTGCCGCAGTGAACTTCATGGTGGTGCTGTTTGGGGTAGATTTGCAAGCCTGTGTTTGGAGATGGAGAGTTGCAAAGGGGGTAGTGGAATCGAGGTAGGGTTTTATAGACTAATGAGTATATTAAGAGTAACTGGCTGATGTATGAGTCGCCGCAATGAGTCTTTGGTGTAACCTTGAGGCAGATTTGATGAGTTGTATGCACATGGAAAGGAGGCGCGACGCATCGCATTTATGTATTCAGGCCACAAGCGGTGTGCTTCTTGAATTACGCCGTGGACGCCTTAACGCTGTACACAGCCTGCGCGCGCAGAGTAAGATCGCCAACACAGCCTGCTTTCAGCTTGACGCGATTCTGGTAATGGTCTGTGACGTCGTGAGGGTGTTGGACCAATTACAATCGTTGTATAGCCAGTCATGGAAAAGCGCGAGATTGGGCTGACGGCTTGGCTTTCTTGGCAGTCAGCTGAACAAGGCGTTCCGTCCCGCTCTTGGTCGCCTGCCTCGAGAGCTTGACAGTCTCCAAGGACTTCCGTCATTCCTGTTGCTGTTCCAAGTCAGGAACGCAGCCAGCGATATGAACGTAGTATTGGTAACAGACACCTCACTGGACTCTCGGTTCCAAATGAAGCTCGTGTCACCTGTGCTAGTTCGCAGAAGACTCGCTAAGTCAACGTTCAACCATTCATAGTATCCCGACAGTATAAATCGACATTGCAGCATTTGAACACGGGATGCGAGCTGGGAAGCCGTACGGAGGTTTGTAAAAGTTGTCTAGATTGTACATGGATGACTAACAGGAGACTTGTGTATGCGATCCGTATGAACCTGACAGATCATGTTTGCTGTCCGATGTGAACTGATCCTTGTCCTGGCTTGAGGGTATGTGTTCGAGGCGAACGTGTCCTGCTTCGCGTGGCTTGGACGAGGAAGAGGGAGAGTTTCGCATCGCGTTAGGGAAGAACTGCCGTGCCATTGGACGAAGAGCAGCAATGCTGACGGAGATGATTCCCAGACTGCACTCGCCTACTGACATGATGACGCACTCGACGCTCTGATCTGTATGTGTGTTAGTTCTCATGTTCGTGTGGAATAGCCGACATCGATGCGAGTCCTGTTAGTGGCAGATATAGCAGTTCGTGCTCTGCTTGCTGCATCCAAAGACACACTCCATCATGATCCTCAAATCGAAGGGATACTTACAGGTAACATCCAGGACGCGTAAACGGTCCAAGAAGGCAATACGGACAATGCCCAATATGCTTGCGCTATCAAACGTCAGTGAAGTTCGACGACCTGCCGTCTACACATACCTTGCACCTCCTGCCAGTAGCACACATAGAACGATTCGTTGCCTTTTTGGCATGTTCAGCCTCCAAATATGAGGTATAGGTAACGCGCAAAGGAGAAGATCCGTCGCGACATTAACGGCGGAGCTGGCGTATAGATAGGTGACGTAGTCGACGCACACTGGTTCGAGGGTGAAATTCCACGCTCCTTGAACCGGACGGCATTGGAAGATGGTGACGAAGATTCCTAACAGTACTTCAGCACATGTCACGTGTCGGGAACTGTGGCTTGTCTTACCTGAAATCCATAGACCGACAATGCACACAGATATCGCGTACATCCAGATGCGGAAGGTCTTGTCGTGGATGAAACGCAGGTACGATGATATGATGGCGATCTTCGTCAACGCAATAGCAAAGGCGTATAGGATTTGGCAGATGAAGAGATACTACAGCGCGTTAGTTGTGACAGCTCAACCAGCCCATTTTCAACATTCATGACAATCGCCATAACCATAATACGGCACCCAATGAAAGCTTGGCACCTACCAATATACAGTCCTTCAAAGTGTCGAAGAGCGTCAACATGGGTAGGAGCCAGATGTGTCGCCCGAGGCCATATTGGGTTGCTAACATATCGTTAGCTAGATTCCACACTCGAAGTACTTGTTGCTTACCAGCGATACACACTGCAGCCAGAGCAACAGTGAAGACGGCGGCGCAAATGATAAGGACTGCCATATATCAGCTGGGACCTTTGTGAGGGAATAGGTTGGCCCGTACAATCGTCTATGAAGATATGGCCGACGTATTTCGCTCTTGCGAAGAGGCGGAGACCGACAGTCAACACCACCAGAGCGATGAAGACTGCGCATGTTATCGTAAGACTGTTGACCTTCGAAGTATGGTCGCTGAAATCGAATTGAGTGATGTCGACTTCTATACCACCGAAGAAGACGGGGTCTGCGTTGGGGTTGGAGTTCTGGCTTGCCATAATGCAAGGTCTCAGTGGGTTCAATGTGAAATGAAGGTAAGATCCGCAACAATCTGTGTAGAGGAGCCCGAAGGCATATGAATCCACGTAGAGGTCGGGCCGCAACCGGCGTAGTCTTACGGGGGCGAGTGGCCTGTGGGATATGCACGATGAATGCGCAATAGACCCGGTGGATCCCCTTATTATCTCTCGGTCAGCCGTTGTGTGGCGTCTTTCGTCAGGGCCTTGGGCGGTATCATTAGACTCTTCCATCAGACCGGTAACCCTAACTGACATGCGGAGCTAGCTCTTAATGCCAGAACATGAATCCGGAACGAAAAACAACATTCCTTCCAGACCTTTGGATCTCTGGTGTTTGGTTTCGGCGCGCCGTCGACGTATCATGGTTCTCTGCCAACCTCTGCCATTGTATGGTTCTGTGTCGCCAGATCACCTCTTCAACATGCAATTACTCAGACGATTATCGAAGGGATTCCCCATTCAAATGTCGCGCTATTGAAGAAGTGCGGGTGTGCCGCTCTGCGCTAGCTGACGGCCTCTTCGTCCCCATCACCTGCAAGGGCAGGCGCAGGCACCAATCTAGCTGATCGACCATCCAGAGGAGCCGCACCAGAGTCTATCGGATTGATAGCATGCTTGTAGGCCACGGAAGAGACCCTGTGGCATTCATCCCGCGGAAGTAGCTGATGCAAGTGTATGGGCGCACCGCCAAAGATCGATCTTAGTCCACCGTGCTCTCGAGATGGCACAATATCCTATGCGGTAATGATGGCTACCTTGGGGATGGCTGAAAGTATAATTCATGTCGATCTAGTTTCTTCCCCCTAGGAGTTCTCGACCGGCTTTGTTCCGCGGGCACTACGATGGTAGTGATACTTTCCATGGCCCCTGCTTACTCAGACAGCAATAGCGAATCAGCAGCATCCCGAGGCATCTGTCCCTGTACATAGACCACGTGCTAATGTACTCGAAACTTTGGGTGTACCGTAAAATCTCACAGTAGATGCGTCCCGCAAAGCGATTGCGAGAGCCGCAGTCTGTAGCCCGGTCCAGAGTCCAGTCAGACGCGCGGCGTCAAAGAATTCGCAGATTTTCTTGCTTGGGCACCACTGGGTTTGTATGATCGGTTGAGAGGAGGAGCATTCGCATAGAGCGAGCGACGGCGTCGAGGCACGTTGAACGGCGTGCAACGCGATGGGGCGGGGAGGCTGGAGGAGACACCGCGGACGGGACGGACTCGCTTCCGATGGCGCCGACATGTGGATCACACACGCTTCGCAGCACTGACTCGAACCATCTCCTCGCCATCAGGTCGCTGTTTTTCCTCTAAAGAGATAGGTGTCATACATCTCATGGCAATTTGCGCGCATTTCCATGAACCCAATATCGTGAACCTAATCGGCGTGATCATAGCGATGCCTGAGACTCCACGTGTTGTGCAGCGGCTTGTCCACGAATGGCAAAACTTTCGACTTAGGCCCAGCATCGACAATTCCAGTTCTTGGGTCGATGTCATTAGCTCTGCATGATGTAGTGCCTGGCCCGTGAATTTTACTTAGTTCTCAGGAGCTCCTGCATACATACATACCTACTGTGCGCAGCCCGAAGCACACCACTACACAAAGGTCGCCACGCAGAAATGTTATTCATTCTATGCGCAAGACAATTCCAAACTTTGGTCGAATGGATCGGTAGCTGATGACTACGCGGCGGTGGCCTCCGCAGCTTGGCGAACTCGACAGCACAGCGGAGCCCCGATGGACGCGTCTCCCATCTTACATGGGAGCATCAAAGTCATTGGCCTATCGAGACCCATCATCAAGGCACGGAAAAGTCAGGCCTGTAGCAGGTAAGGCCAAGATGACAATTGACCGAAGTTTTCGTGAGGAGACGAGGCTGAGCCGGCGGAATCGACGCGCTATTAGGGCCGTCTGCGAATGAGCGATGGTTGCCGCGACTCTGCCGATGCTTGAAAGCGAAAACATGGATGAGGTGTCGTCGTCGATACCCATTGTCCTGGGACGCTGATGTTCATATGTAGGTGGGGTGTAGCAAGTGCAAATGATTTTGAAGGTAGCCCCAAAATTGGTCACTAGAAGCTCACATTATTGTACAACTGTCAACGTGCGCTCTGGCAGTCTTCTTACTGTATATACATCTATCATCGTGATATCCGCGATGTCGACATCCACAGATCCGACTGTACCGCTCCCGACCGAGACAGAGAAAGACCGCAAGGACAGGGACGATGATGACGATGACGACGTGAGCTCAACTGCACCTGCTCCAACTCCAACGCCGCCAACACCGGGTCCTCCCGGGAGACCATCACCGGCCGATGCATCACAATCTTCGCAAACCTCTCTTCCTTCTTCAACCTCGACGCAAGCCTCTGCTTCAGCGCCCGCAGTTTTAGAATCTGGAAATGGCGGTCTGGGCGTTGGCGCGAGCGCTGGTATCGGCGCAGCAGTCGCCGTTGCTGTCATACTACTTCTACTGGGCGGCTGGTTTTGCGTGCGTCGAAGGCGAGCTGGAATACGCCGGAAGAGCACCCTGTCACAAAGTTCGTACGACTTGGAGAATGCGACGAAGGGGAGCGAATGTGGAGCCCTCGGGCCAGCGGAGATGGAGGCTGGGGGTAATAGCGAGAAGAGCGCTTCTGAACTCGCCAGTCCTGTTGTTCCCGTGGAGGCCGTTGGTGATCGTCGACTCTTTGCTGCAGAATTACCAGGTTCCGAAGTCCTTCCAAACGACGAAAAGAAAGGAACTGAGGAGCGACTCTTTCCGGACTCGCCAATTGATGACGAAGACGACCAGTACCACGTCGATTCGAAGAGTATCGAGGATAAGAAAGCGTCATGTTGACGGTCCGCTAGCATCTTATGTCGTTACGAATCAAAATATATTTTTCGCGCTTTCCTAGCGGGGAAGCCAATCTTGGAAATCTCTCTCTCAATGATTGGTGTACTCGCGATGACCCGATGGGAAATGAACATTTGGAGGCGGTGATACTGGCGAACCGTCCTGCGGGGTGTAGTCCCTTGACAGGCGCTGCAACGGCGAGACTCCACCAGGAGAAGCCTCAGGTGGTGAGACCATTAGCAGCGGTACAGGAGCGCGTACGGGTTCGGTGGTATGGCTCGTGGTATTCGGCTCCAGTGCCATGCTCCAAGTCCTCCATTGCTCGAGCTTTTGAACGTACAGTTCCTCCGCTTCTGTCCTGGCGTGAACGTTGCCATTTCCCTCCACTTCTTGCGCAGCGGTATCGCCGTGCAGTTCTGGTATCTGGCCTGCATCCAATTCGTAGATGATCCGAGCATCGGCTTCAACAGGCGGCGGTGGTGGTGTTGGCAGCGGTGGTGACGAGGCGGACGTAGAATACCAAGCTTTCTCCTGCTGTCCTGCTTCGGCATCCATCGACTCTCTCTTTGTGGTCTGGAGCTGTGCTCTCCGAGCCAGCACACGGTTCCTTCGTCTGATCGCAAAGAAAGCAAGAATAGCGATAACGACGATCGATACGGAGCACGCTACTCCAATAGCAATACCACGCTTGATGCCAGGAAGGGCCAAGTCCGTTTCGATTGCATTCTCCTCTTGAGTGGTCGTTAGGTTGAAGTGTTTCGATGTGGGGGATGGTGTGGGTGTCGCCATGGTTGAGGGAGTCACTTGACGTTTCGCACACACGCAGAACGTGAGAGGATGTGGGAGTTAGTACTCTGTCCCAGAGTACAAGTTTCGGGCATATGCAGTACATGTCGGAGCAAATATTGCGGCGCAGTCGTGAAGGCTGCATGATCGTCGCACCAGCCTGGCTATGAAACCATGCAAGAGGTGCCTTCGGCGGCTACAGGATTATGGATTGGGGGCTACAATCACGCCGCTCTGGACCAACCATGCCCCGGCGCGTAGGGCAGTGCAACAGACGTGGAACGTGGCACAAGCTTGAAAACCGGCATCACGATCCTTTTTAAGTGGTGGAGAGGAGTTGGGGTTGCTGTAATGTAAGGAGCGTGAGGCGTAGGTACGGTATGCTTACGTTGCGGCACGAGAAGCGTGGAGGAGTGGCGGTGCGGCGTGTCATCATTTGCCTCCTAGGTAGAACTCGAACACCACGCTCTCACCGGACGCTCTCACAAGTGCCCCCATAGTCCATATCACCGTGCGCCATGTGTTTCCAAACCATGAATTACGCGCTGAATGATTTTGCAGAGGCCCACCCAGGCAGTTTAAGCGGGGTGTCTGCGGGTGCCCGCATCCTGCGCGGCTCTGCGACTCTGCGGCTCTTTACCGACATCTCATCAACATCGCCTTTCTTCTCTTCTCAATGTTTAGAAACACCAACTGATACAAGCTCTGTCGCACTGAACTCAGCCGCGAATTTCAAACCCAGGGACAGGTTGCTAGGCTGCCTCATAGCCATGGGGGCCGCTGGCCGGTCAGCCTCGCTGGCGGCCTGAACCCACAAGTTCGGGGAAGCGGCCCCATGCGTCGACACGCCTACTACTTGAGTCAAGCAACTTCGCAAGAACTTGCTGTGAGTACCGACGGTCGCCACATTTTCCTTACTCAGACAATGCGTCTTTTGTTGGTGTCAAAAACAACCATCGCAGCGAGCCGATGTTAAGTAGCGAACTGCGCGAAACCAAATCGCATCGGATGCCCTGCTCACCGCAAACCAGGCCTATCGGGACGCATTGGAGTCGCACGGCATGCTAGGTTCAATGACTTCATCGCATACATCACAAGCACGTGCCGATTACTATCGTGAGAAAATTGGATTATCATTAATCTATCGTGATCTTCTGTGAATCATGTAGGAGCTCGATGACAAAGTCAAGTAAGTCCATCATTCGTAGCCATTTGTGCGGCTATCATGTCGTAAACGCTTAAGCAGGAGGAGAGGTAGGCTCAGGGACGCCGGGAGGGCAGTGCCAGTGGTCATCGTGAGGCTCGCAGGCCTCAGCGGGGGCAGCAGCGGCAGAGGTGGCGGCAGCAAAGGCAGAGGCAGGAGCAGCAGACGCGGAGGCAGTGGCGGAAGCAGTGCTGGTGGCAACAGCGGAAGACTCTTCCTCAAGAGCGGTGTAAGTGCCGGGGCAGCCAACACCGGGAATGACGATGTCGTGAGCGTAGGCCTCAAGAGCGAAGTACTGGAGAGTGTCGCTGTTCCTCGCGGCGTAGGTAGCGTTGTTCTTGGCAAGAGCGATGGTTCCGGGGTACTTCTCCTCTTCTTCATCGTTGTAGTGCTCGACGACACCCTCACCAACCGGGGGAAGGTGGAGAAGACGGTGCAGAAGGTCAGAAGCCCAGAAGGTGTTGGTGGCGCCGTTGGCGACGTCGTATCCGAGCATGCACATGGTGGAAAGAGGCCTACGGATCTCGTAGGACAAGTCGCAGATGACAGTCTCGGAAGTCGCGTTGGAGCCGCGCCAGTGACCGGCCCAACCCTCCTGGTCGCAGTTGCCGTCAATGTTGTCGCAGCGGAAGAGGATGCCAGACTTGTCGCCGTCGGCAATCTTGGTGAACCAACCGAGGGGCTCACCAGTGGGAGCTTCGCCAAAGTACTTGGTGTAGACCTCGGAGTTGTTGCCGAAGCGGAGGATGTGGTCGCGGGCATGGCTGACGATGGTCATTGTCTCATCGAGACCCTTCTGAATCATGCTACGCTGGGTAGCGTTGCAAGAAGCGTGGATGGGGAACTGGTGAATAGCACCGGCGTCCCAAGCTGTGGCAGCAGGAGCAGCCTCGGCGGTGTGGGTGACGGTGACAGTTGCCTGGCGAGGGGCAAGAGGTCCGGCCATGGCGACGGAGGCTCCAAGGAGCATGAGAGCAGAGGCACGAGCAGCCATTGTGAGATTGATCTGAGGGACTTTGAAAGGGTCTTGGGAGTTGATGTGCGAACCGGAGTTCAGTGAGTGTCCCGAGAAGCTGGTTGCCGGATGCTTGATGGAGATACTTGCAGACGAGCTGCAGGCCTCTTTATATTCTACCAGAATGACATCTCACCACTGAGGACTGTTCCTCTCGGTGCTCATGTACCGACGTCCCCGCAACCTCGACCGCCGAGAGGTGAAGAAAAAACGCCTCATGGCTGCAGCCGCAGGTACATCAACCGGTGTACTGCCGGTCTATCGCCTTTCCGGAGATGCAAATGCTACACTACACGGATCTGGAGGCTGATCTATACCTTGGCCTGACGTACAATTCGAATGGTTGAGCTTGGCATGGAAGTGCATGGGGGCCTGGGCGACATGTTTTCCACTCAGAAGGTGGATTTATGGGTATGTAAGTACCATGATGGGCGCCCAATGGCGAGAAATTCTCCCACCCAGGAACATGTTGTCGGGAGGATTACCTGCGTTCGGGAAGGCCGAAGACATTAATGTGGGTGGTCGCTATGTTCCGAAGCGGCCTCCCACGCGATATGTCATGTTGAGAGTGAAGCAAGGTAGAAGTACGATGATTATGGAGTCACTGTTCTCCAACGGGGCTGATAGCTATGCAACCTGTTGCCGTGTACAACTCTTAGGCAGCTTTAACAACTCTTACTGGAAACATTCAGACAACTGCCATAGTGCCAGCTCTGGAGGTTGAACGACGAAAAATGATACTAACCTCAACGCTTGTAGGTTCATCGGAATGTTGGAGTTGTCAGACCTGGTGTTAGTGCTATGTGCCGAAGAGCCTCCTAGCCGTGGAGGTCACGGCTACTACGATCATAGTACGATGCATCCCCAACACACCTCGCCAAGACCTCCGCTACCTAAATCATTGCGCTATCCCACCCACCTACTGCATCTGTAGCGACGCCGCCTACCTAAAAGCATTCGTGTAGCCTCTGATTCGACGTTTGCTCCGAGACAAGACTTATGCCAAGGTAAACCATCCAACAGGGTACTCAATGCCAAGACCGCCCGTGGCGCTCAGTGTGAAGCAACGGCAAGCCCAGAGACAAATGGATACCGAAGAATTCTTCGCGGCATCCTTGTGGGGGGCTGCCTTGCCCCATCACGGTACATGCGTTCCACTCCGCTGACACGACGAAAAGCTTGAACGAAGTCGATATATCAAGGGCCTGAGCTGGTATCACTTGAACAGCTTTTACATCCGTCGGTTCGCTCGTTAAACATATCCGGTAGACCCTGAACATTCATTCAGCCATGCGCTCCACCCTCTCTGCTGCAGTCCTACTGCTTGCGGGCTCTGCCGCTGCGCAAACACCCACCGTCACTGTCACTCAAGCTGGCGCGACTACCACCGTCTTCACTACCGGAACTCCGTCTATCACGGCTGTGTCATCATGCCATCCCCATAACACTGTTCTGTATGTGTGCCCGTTTTCAACTTCGGTTGGTAGAGTTTAGCGCTAACTCACAACAGCTATTGCATGTTTGGCTCAGATGAGTACCAGGTAGTCGGACCCACTGCGACAGAAGAGTTCCAAGCAGAGTACACGCAATGTCACAAGCATCAAACCGACACGTAGGTACCACCCATCACGATGTTTGACTGAATGCTGACTTGAGAAGATACTGTGTCGACGATGCCGGCGAAGATGTCCTGCTCATGACGGATGCTGAAGAATCGACAGAAGGCTCCTCGCATACGGGAGAAGAGTCAGCTACTGAGAGTGAGCCAGCAGGAAGCAAAGGACATTGCCACGACCATGCCGGTGTTGAGCACTGCGTCGGTGGAAGCGAATCCGAAGTCAACTGCGATGCTCCCCAGCGCGACTACAACATCCCCCTACGAGTCGGCCTGCTCTTCGTCATTCTCTTTACCAGTGGACTTGGTGTGTTTACCCCCGTCCTGACCCGGAAGTTCAACCTCGTTGGCGCCAACAACATCGTCTTCGTCGTCCTCAAGCAGTTTGGAACCGGTATCGTCATCTCCACCGCATTCGTCCATCTCTTCACCCACGCCCAGCTCATGTTCGCAAACCAATGTCTGGGTGTTCTGGAATACGAAGCCACCACCGCTGCTATCTTCATGGCTGGTTTGATGCTGTCCTTCCTGGTCGACTACCTCGGTGCGCGCTTTGTCCAGTGGCGCCAGGGAAAACACATTGCTCCCAGCACCGAGGTGGCAGCTAGTGGGGACAAATCCGGAAACAGTTCTCCTTCAGCAGAACCCACCCATGACTTCAACCGCAGTCATGGCATTGCCCACGCCCATGGTCCGATGCGCGAGGCTACCCCCATGGAAGAGAAGATCAACGTAATGAACCTAGAGGCGGGTATCATCTTCCACTCCATCCTCATCGGTATCACGCTTGTCGTCGCAAGCGATGGATTCTTCATCACCCTCTTCATCGTCATCCTCTTCCATCAAATGTTCGAAGGTATCGCTCTTGGAACTTGCATCGCCGAACTCCCCAAGGCTGCTGCTGGTACGGCGCAGAAGCTCCTCATGTGTGGTACTTTTGCGCTTATTACACCTATCGGCATGGCCATCGGTATCGGAACGCTAGACCACTTCAACGGCAACGACCCCAGTACCATCATCGCCATCGGAACACTCGATGCACTTTCCGCTGGTATCTTGACATGGGTTGGACTTGTAGAGATGTTGGCAAGAGACTGGATGCACGGAAAACTGCTCAACGCAGGTGCTGCCAGGACCTTCAGTGCCTTGTTCGCGCTCATTTGCGGTCTTATTCTCATGAGTGTTCTAGGCAAGTGGGCTTAGCCAAGCCGTTCTAGAGGAGTGTAAGACTGTACGATGCTGAAGTAATGACTTTACGGTTCCACGTTGGGATGAGTGTTTGGGCTCTTACTTAGCTTATACCCTTAATGCCAATCCTACAAAAGAATGCACCTATTCTACGATAGTGCTCTTCATACTCTGCTTTCCAAAACTATCCCATACCTCTGCTCTCCATCCCTCGGGTGTTGGATCGTGCTCCAATAATATTCGATACGGCTCATCGACGTATAGCGGGCTCATAGCACGATATGCTATGGACTTGGGCACTGCCTCTGTATCCCCATTCTTACTCGTATCCCGCCAAAAGTCCAGCATGTTGATGAGATTGAGCGGCCCATGTACAACAGCATTCCTGTGGCCCTCAACCTCTCGACACCACTCAGGCAGATAGTGTATCTTGTGCGCATTGAATGTCAGCGCTGAGAAGCGAAATAGCGAAGTTGGCGTCTGGCAAAAATCCCTCTGGCGCGTACCAGTCGGCAATTCTTTCTCTTCTGGCTTGGGTAGTGCTTTCATCGGATTCTCAGGTGTAAGCTCACGCTGGAATACCCAATTACGGCGGTCTGTTAATGCAACACCGTGGTCATTTGAGAAGGTCTTCTCAACACCCACGAGTAGCATTTCTCCTCCATTCTTCAACGTCTTGGGCTCAGCACTCAGCAGTTTCGTCGTCTCTTTGACCTCCTGGCCCACTCTCAGCAGTGCGTTCCTGTCTTGCGCCCACGTCAACTCGCCGCCAGCCCACATCCGCCTAGTGAATGGAATCAGCGGGTTCACAGTGCGATCTGTGCCATCAAGTCCCAGTTCGGCTTCGATGATCGAGGGGGTGAAGTAGACTAGGTGGTAGCCGGGTGGAATCGGCGTACCGGTTGGTGGCGGATTGAAAGAGGAGGGTGTACGGTTGAGTGTTATGGAGAGCAATTGAAGTTGATTTGCATCAAGAAGCTGTTTACGGATCGAGACGGGCCCCCTTTGGAATCGTGTGAGGAGTTCACTACATGCTTCCGTTGCGGAGGCTTGGCGGTGGGAGGGGCCTGTAGAGAACAGGCGGCGGGCCACGGATGTCATGATACAGCTATTTTCCTAGCACCCTGGAGCATCTAGGAACTGCTCACAACGAGTTTGATGATGCGAGATGGACAGTCAGTGATGGTCGATAACAAGAAAGGTGGAGGAAGATGCCGAAGGATAGCCGATATCGATAACGTCACCCTCCACGGACAATTTTGGTAACCGACTTCGGCGTCTTCCAAATCAAAGCAAACGTCGAGCTTCGGCAACATGTCCGAGCCACCACGGAAACGCGCGAAGTTGGCGTGTGTGACTTGCAACGCGCGACGCGTCAAGTGCGATGTCACGGATCGCCATCCTTGTAGCAACTGCGCAGCCGGCAACGTCGAGTGCGAAACGCGTGAATCGAGGCGCGGAAAGCACGTCCGGAAGCCGCGGGCCGAGACTGAGGTCCGCAGCAGAACGTGAGTTATGTCCACTTGGAGTGCTCTGTGGCAGTTACTAATCCCGAAAAGCCCACCAAGTACATCGGCTCTGAGCCCGCAGCGACACGAGGATGAGGTGGCGGCGTCACATGTCCTCGCGTCGCTATCGTCGAACTTCCACAGCCCCGTCAACCACACGCCAGCTTCCGGAAGCCAATACCAACTTCACACTCCGGCAGTGTCAGCAGAACAGCAGAGTAACCCACCTACAACAGGATCTGTCCACCAAGATGATGCCGTTTTCCTTGGTGAAAGCAGCTCTTTGCGCTATGTGACGACGAGCGAGGCTGGTGAGCCATCAGAAGCAGCAGCTCATCGCCGACAGTCCTGTTTTCGTCATGCCGTTCCAAGCGCTGCAAGAGCAGAATCGTTCGTGCCAGAGTGGGAATCTGAAAGACGTCTTGCGCGCAAGAAGATCCTACAAGCAGAGGGAGCCTTTTCGTTTCCTCCCGCCGAAGTCCGGCTCGAGCTCCTTCAGGCGTACTTCAAATGGTTCCATCCACACTTTGCAATCATAGACGAAGAAGACTTCTGGGCCTCGTACCAAGACTTTACGTTCTCCGCATTGTCTTTACAAGCTATGATGTTCATTGGCGTTATCCACTGCGAAGAGTCTACCCTCAAGGCTCTTGGGTGGGGAAACCGTCATCGAGCGAAATGGTTCTTTTATATCAGGGCAAAGGACCTATACGACTCTACATACGAGACTGACAAGGTAAAAGTCATACAAGCTCTGTTTCTGATGAGCTTTTGGCGAGCCGGTGCGCTATTGGAGAAGGACGCGCGACATTGGCTAGGCACAGCTATTAGTCTCTCGCAAACAAGAGCACTACATCGTTCCGGGGGCGATACTGATGAGGGACGCGCGAAGGTCAAGAGGAGGCTTTGGTGGGCTATCTATGTGCGCGAGCGACAATGCGCATCAGCTCTGGGGCTACCGTGCCGCATACGCGACAAAGATTGCGATATTGAGCCGTTGTCTTCCGCGGATTTCACTTCTGCTTTTTCGCCGTCCACTCCTCTCGAGGACCGCCATAGGTCCACGGTGTACACGATAAGTATGGTGCAGCTGGCGGTCTTCCTTGGCAGAGTAGTGGATGCCGGTTATCTGCCGGGACGGGAGCTCGCGCCCGAGGAGAGAGTCAAACTCCGCAACGAGCTTTACAAATGGAGGCAAGACCTTCCAAGTACTATGCAGCTGCATAGCGATGCTGGCGACCCGCCCAACTTCCAAGCCAGTATGCTTCATCTCGCGTACAACAATCTACTCATTCTACTCCATCGCACCAGCTTCGTTGTAGACGAGAACAATACCACATCCGCGGACGGGAATGTAGCGCTACAGGCAGCAGCGCGCAACTCGCGTATAGTCGAGGATATGCTGCCTGACGGCAACATTGGGCACGCTCAGATGCACGTCATCACAAACCTCTTCAACACACTCTGCATACATGTTGTCAACTTCCGGCGCTCGAACGGCATCAATCGCACACTCGCTGAGCATCGAGCCAAGCTTTGCCTACTGGGCCTGCAAGAACTTCAGAAGACGTGGGAAGTTACCAACTGGGTGTTACAGCTATTTTTCCAATATCTCGACAGAGAAACAGCCTCGAGGCTAGCTATGGAAGCGGATGACGGAGGCGCCACGAGGAATGTTGGCCAGTCTACTTCGGTTGGAACTACTGTGCAACTGCCGTCGCAGCAACAAGGTATCGATAGCATCGCAATTCGTAACACCCAACATGATATGGAAGGTCCTGCGTCAGCCGCCACCAGCCCTAAGCCCTGGTCTTGGACCCTGGACGAAGCGGATCAATATCTTTTCACGCAGATTGAGAACGACTTTGCTTTTGGGGAAGGCACCCTGCAGCAATGGTGTCCAGAGGACGTGCTCATACCCGAATAAACGGATGTCGTCTCGCCAACATCGCAGTAAATTGTTACGAACACATGTAACTCTCGCGATTCGCGATCCATTCTTGCCGATGGGTTACTACAGCGCTAGGTATCTCCGCAAGCATTCACATCCAATCTTAATCAAAACCTCAGTTGTAGACTGGCCCACTTGGCGCATATCCAGTCAGTCTCGTACCATTTGAAGGCCTGAACTTCTCCTCCTTGAACCACACGTGTGCCGATTCAGACAGCTTCTCGACTTCCGAGAAGGGGAATTCCGGCTTGGAGTCAGAGCTCGCAAGGAGGTCGTAGATGCCTTGAGCATAGTCGGGACCAATGTTGTACACTTGTGCGAGGTACTTCTTCTGTTCGGGCGTCAGTATGCGTGGTGCGACTGAAGGATGCAGGGCAGAGATTTACCTGGATATCAGCGTACTTGACAAACTTGAGCATGTTGAAGGTGTTGGTGATGGTATGTTGCCTCCTTTCAGGCGACATGACCCTGCTCCACAGCTCCTTAGCCTGGTCGTACTCGTTTTTCTTTGCCTCATGCCAGTAGTGGCTCTTGCGGCTCATAACGTTGTCCGAGACCTGGTACGGCGCCTCGGCAACATCGGGGCGGAACTTGTGCGCGAAGCTGTTGGGGTTGTATTGCTTGTTTCCTGCGTGGTTGGCATCGACACGCATCTGGCCATCGAACTGGAGAGGCGCGAAGGACTTTGACATGAATGGGCAGTTGACGGGGATCTGGTGAAGATTTACACCTGCAGGAAGTTAGTACACGTCTCATATGCACTGCTCACAGCCAAAACTTACCAATTCGGTGATACTGGGCGTCGCGGTAGAAGAACATGCGGAACTGGAGCAATGGATCGGGCGAGTCCTCAATACCGGGGACCATGCTGCCGGGTGAGAAGGCAGCTTGCTCAACATCGCGGTGGTAGTTCTCAGGGTTCTTGTTCAACACAAGACGGCCAAACTCCTGCATGGGGAACTGCTTGCGCGGCCAGACCTTGGTGACATCGAAAGGATCGAAGCCAAGCTTCTCCGGATCCGCATCCTCAGGCTCCATGACCTGCACCATGGCGGTCCATTCGATCTCCTCGCCCTTCTCAATGGTCTCCCACAGATCGCGCTTGGAGTAGTCTGGGTCCTCACCGCACATCTGTGTCGCTTCTTGCTGGGTGAACTGCTTCTGGCCGTGCTTGGCAATGAAGTGGTACTTGATGTATACGAACTTGCCTTCGGCGTTGACCCACTTGAAGGTATGGCAACCGTACCCGTGGTTGAAGCGCCAGCCAACGGGAGTACCGTGGTCACTGAAGAACATGAGACCGGCATGGTTGCTCTCGGGTGTGTTCGCCAGAAGATCGAAGATGGCATCGTAGTCAGGAAGGAAGTTCCTGGGGTTACGAGCTTGCGAACGGATTACGTCTGGACCTTGAATAGGGTCGCGGCAGAAGAAGATGGGGAAGTTGAGGCCGACGATGTCGTAGTTGCCCTCCATGGTGTAGAACTTGATGGCGAAGCCACGGGGGTTGCGGGCTTCATCGGGGTATTCGCGACCGACCGTAACCGTGGAGAAGCGGATGAAGATGGGAGTCTTTTCGCCCACGCTGGAGAGGAAGTTGGCTTTCTAGGAGAAGTCAGGTTTGGCAGCTGTGAGATGATCAAGACAGACGTACCGTAAGAGCGTCAACCTTCTTGGTGCACTCAAAGTATCCAAACGCGCCGGAACCGCAAGGGTGCACCATACGCTCAAGGTTCTTGGAACGGTTGAACGTCTGCTGCTTCTGGAAGAGGAAGACATCGCTAGCCACAGGGATTCCGCCTATAGTCTTGCTGTGTGCGCTATGAGACGTTAACGACAATGTTCTTGAGGTGTGCGGATACTCGCAAGCTTACGGGTCAATCCACGGGATACCTTCATTAGAGGTAAAGTAAGGGCCATCATCCTCACGCTTTCCGCCTTGAACTGCGCCCGTAATCTTCGCAGCTATATCAGCAGGTCCCTCGTTAGCTGAGCCCATATGGCTCTGCCTTGGCGCACGTTTCTCTCCAGTAGCGCTTTGAATACCCTGAGAGATGGCCTCGAGGGGATGTTGCAACGGGTCATTCTGGGAAGCGTTTGCACCGGTCGACATGGCTGCGGTCAATTTGCTTGGTAAAGATGTGGGAATATCCATGAAGAAGCAACAGCGGGTGCGAGTTTAAGAGGGCATCTTGGAGGGCACGTCATCGCTGTGTACATGTGCAACGGCTGTTGCGGGTATTTTGTATTTTGTCACGTTGATGCGTCTCTGACGCGTAGAGGAGAGGGGTAAGATGCCACGACTTCACGTGCAGGGACAGTTGACAGCTGGATTGGTGCTTCGAGGCTTAGTGCAGCAGGTATCGACAACCTGGGTGGATTGGATGCTGTCAATATTTGTTTGACCAGGACCGCTTTTAGTGGGCAATACCCTTTTGGAAAGATAAGACTAACGCTGAATCGCTCATTCGCCGTGGCAGTTGCAGTCCGCGGATGGTGTGGAGCGTGGTGGGTAAAAAGGGCATGGGAATTCTAGACTTTCGCGTGTTTCGGCATGGTGGCAATGTGACGTTTCCGATCCGCTGCATCCTGCATCATCAACACGTCGCTCCGCGGAACGCTACTCCACCTTGCACAATTATCGG